TTTTCTTGTCTATCTAGTCATATTTAAAATTTACCAGAGTCAGGTTATGGTGCAAAAACACCAAAGATCTGCCTTATCTGGCAGAAGTTTGTTACGTTTTTTTTCGTAGGTATATGTTTCCTGCGGTGTGCGGGCGGGGTATTTGAAGTAAATGCGTAAACAAGTCACGACGCGTCGCTCTCGAGAAAGCGTGCGAAAATGAACCGAAGTTCGGCCGAAGTTCGGATTCGGTTCAAATCACATTCGGCCCATCTCTAATATATATATATATATATATATATATATATATATATATATATATATATATATATATATATATATATATATATATATATATATATATAATATATACACAATATTGATTCTATGTCCTTTCATTTCGCATTATTGTAGCGTCCACCACTTGTAAGCAATTTTAATACATTATGACTGCGAATATTGGTCCATTAAACAATTTCAAAGATAGTGTTTAACTCATTTCTTTGAAAATTTACCATATATCGATATACAAATATTCGTATATTGCCAGACGGAGGGAAACCAATCAGGACTCCCTTCCATATTACAAATTATCCAGAATCCCCGTAATATACATAGTTTTTAATTCATTCTCCTGCTTAAGGTGACACTAGTCGACATTATTTCCATAGAAATTTCGGAGGGGTTTTACTCCGCTGTTTGACAGTGTACATCAACAGTACATACAAGTCACAGTTAAACATGATATCGTTTTGTCTCATTATTAATTTTGTCTGTACGGAAACAGAATAGTAAAATAAAAAGTCATTAAAAAGTTACGAGCTATCAAAGATTCGTTTTTATTGCCAATTTTAACACAACTTTGGGCGTAAATTAGTAATAAAAGCAGTGTAAAATTTCCAAGACAAAGTTGGTACCGACACAGCTCAATTATCGAAGAATTCAATAAATTTTATTTGTAATTGATTTATGCAGTGGTTTTTTTCATAAAACCCCTTCTTCCAAAGGCCTTTTCGTATTTTTTTACGCGCGCGTGTTTATATGAATTATCGTGCATCTCACTGAATAATGTTTCCCCCCGGTGCGGTGCGGGAGGACGACACTTACACACACATGCATGCGCGGTGACGCGCGCTTCTTCTAGTTTTATTCGACTCAGTCAACTGCGGCCCTGCTTGAACTTTGGATTTCGATACTACTCTGTTTGGCATAGAAATTGATATTATTGAAAGAGATGATGCGTTTTGGACGGCAGACAAAATTTTAAAATTACATAGCTTTTATCAGAAATGTGTTTTGCCGGAGCTAATAGATTCCCGTTAACCTCGCAAACTACAATTTAGAGATCGAATGTAAATCAAATTGATATAAGCACAGACAAAAATAGCGGATTATAAATAAAATTTTGAAAAAAAACGATCTCAAAATTTTATTAATGTTCCGCTAATTTTATCTGTACTTACCTATGTCAATTTGATTTACATTCGATTATAATTATATTCTCAGACGTGCAGGTTTCCTCAATATGTTTTCCTTCACCGCCGAGCACGTGGTAAATCAGCACAATTGCAATTAACAATTTCATTGGTGCCGGCGGGGATCGAACTCGATTTCGAAGACATGTGAAGTTCGTCAACACGCATTGAGGCAGCGTGGCGGACATTTCCTTGCCTTAAAACCCTCTCAGAAATTAGAGGAGGCCTGTGCCCAGCAGTGGGACGTATATAGGCTGTAACTTTAAATTTTAAAGAAAAAAAAATAAGCAACCGACAACCTCCTAGGTCCCTAGGTGACTTGCGAGATGTCAGTGTAACAAAACAAAACGGCCCAGAAAAACAGACTTTCCAACTGATAGCTAAATCAGCACGCAACAATTTCATTGGTGCCAGTGGGGATCGAACCCGGGTTGCTCCCGTACTGTGATACTTATAACGAGCGCTAACCATGTGAGCAACCACGGCTCTCAACGACATCGTTCCGTTCGTGTACAGCGCTGAAGATAGCAGAGTAAAAAATTAGAGATTGTGGTGTTTGAAATTTGTCATCTATGAGAGTGAATTTTATCTGTGTACTCTGTAACAAATAACTATATAGAAAAAAAATGTGAAAATGACATTTCGCCATTTTTGTTTGTGTACTGGTTAGGAACTCGATCAAAAATTTGATAATTTTTCTGTTGAATAAAACTAAATTTACGGATTTTATCGCGTTTATTTCACTACTCTTACTTATTTTTAATTCCCGACGTTTCGGGTGCTTTACAGCAACCATGGTCACGGGGGGGGACTGAGATGTTTGACGTCCCAATGTCATAGTTAGTCCGGCTACCTTCAGTTTTTGAATATTAATTTTTGGTCCGATTTACGCAAAACGAGCTTATAGTATCATGAAGTCTTGCAGTGGTATGCTTAGTTTTGTAATTTTTCTGTTTTTATACGTTATTTCTAAAAAAATGTGAAAATGACTATTCGCCATTTTTGTTTGTGTCTGGTTAGGACTCGATCAAAAATTTGATAATTTCTCCGTTTTTATACGTTATTTCTAATGTTATTTTACATCAAATTAATTGTGAAGATATTTTCTTTTGGAAATATGTATCATTACGACGATTCAAAAACGTTTACATATAATAATTTACCTCGAAATTCACTATACGCGATTATCGTATATTGATTATATGTTGTTTAAAAAGTATTCTTATCAGTTTTTTGTGGTAAATGGATGCTAAATATAAAAGAATGCTTCAGTATTGATAGCAAGTTATTAACGATATATCTGTTGATATGTGTCTAGAAATTATTAATACTTATTTTTATTTATTTATTAAAATAATAAATAAATAAAAATATGTATACATTTATCTATATTGAGTACTAGTTGTTCCCCGCGATCTCGCCCGCGTGGAATATGGATTTCATGGGTTTTAATTTTTTTGCGCGGAACCCTAATTCTTTTTCTAAAACAAAAGTAGTTCAAGTTATTCCTTATATCATCAGCTATCTGCCAGTGAAAGTCCCGTCAAAATAGATCCAGCTGTTTCGGAGATTAGCTGGAACAAACAGACAGACAGACAGACCGACAGACAGATAAAAAATTTAAAAATTGTGTTTTTGTTACTAGTACTTTCATATGCATTTAATAAAAATCTGTTTTAATATTACAAACAGACACTTCAATTTTATTTATTTGTAGATATAGATATAAGATATTATTCATATTGGTGTCATTTTAAAGGGAATATCATGTACTATTATAACAATAAAATAATTGTGTCCAGTAAATATTATACTTTTCTTGTAAAACTCGAAATAAAAAATAAATACGATTTATTTTTATATCCCCATATGCTTTATTTTCATCCTTTATTTTTTATTTGACCAATTTTCTTTTAACAAAATTAAATTCTGAATTCGTTGAGCTTTTTGAGAATATTTTTATTTGAATGTTAGGTAGGTACCTATATTAGATTTTCAGTAGTAATCGTTTTTGTTGCGACAGTCTCGCGCGGTCGTAAAAAAAGTTACTGCGCGGACAGGTGGGACGAGAATCACTTGCACGGCGTTGACGGTTCGGTGGATAGGTACCTACCTACTGTTATTACCTAAATACCCATAACCTACTATACAACAAAATTTGACAAACTGTCGCTGCGTCGTGGACACTAAAATGTAAACTGCCTACCTACCTGCCTAAGTACGTCGGTACTAAGGAAACAGTCTTGACGGGTCCCTTGTCTTGATAAAAATATGTGTTTACATCTAGTGATATTGTGTGTATATAAAAAAAGTAAGAAGACAGGTAAGTATTTTTGAAAACAATTTATAGGTAGGCAGAACTAATTACAATTATTATCTAAATATTATAAATGCGAAAGTTTGGATGGATAGATGTATGTTACTCAATCACACCAGAACAGCTGAAGGGATCTGGATGATATTTAGCTCAGAGATAGGTTATATCTAGTCTGGAATAACACATTTGATACCGTTTATTCAGGTATTTCGTTCCTGTGGGATAATTTTCGAGTTCACGCGTTTGAAGTCGCTGGCAACAGCTAGTGCGGATATAAACTGCGATGACTGTTCCAGTTCATACTTCGGCATCGCGAACTCTTGAGTGATCGCTGCATGACCACCCGGGGAAAACTAAATATAATAAAATAAGCAATCTATATTAGGTATCTATAGAGCCATAGAGGTATAGTATAAAGCAATAACGCAGCGCCTAATAATTTAGTACGAGTGGCACGATGCCAGGTGAGACAACGTGTTTTTTGGCCACGCCCACCAATGAGTTCGAGCCCGCGACTTGTGCCACCTACGCAATTCCTTTGTATAGTGCGACGTTGCCACTCTTATTAGTTATTCCGCTTTGTAATATTTTATTTATAGGTGATATTTTGTTTATGTAGGTATTCGATAGATTCCTATAGTCTGTTTTTTCGCAGAAGACAAAAATTATTAGATTCGTTTAGCACGAATAATACAGTTTTTATGATTCTGGTTCAGATTAGATTTCATTTTAGTCACTTAAATTTCGTATATTATTCAAAATAATGAAATAAATCCACAGAATCTGCAGTTACGAAAAAAAGCAATATCATTTTAGTCTCCGGCGAAAAAAAAGATATATATCATGATTAATTTACCAACTAGTTATTCGTTTACTAAATACGAAAAAATAATTTAGACGTCATTTTTCTTCCAATCTTGCTGTACTGAATATTTACGTAGTCATTATATTAATAATTATAATTGCATAAGTTGATACAAAATGCTATGCAATAGCTTTACCGCGGCAGTCCCCGAGTACCACACGTCTTTTTTTTGTTAGTACACTTCACTTATGTGATATATCAAAACTAGAGTTCTATCATGATACTTTGTACATGATTGAACTATACATGAAGGAGACAAATGGTGAATGATGGTCGCGCAACATACAAGCCCAAAAAAGAGACGTCGAAATACACCTACTGTACAGGTACAGGTATGCTTATGGTGCAGGATTCAGTGACTGACCGGATGATGAGCGTGACGCGTTCGACGGCGGTGAAGCGCGTGTGCGCGTCGGCGTGGTGGAACCGGTCGCGCACGAGCGCGCATAGCACGTCGGCGCCGCCCGCCAGCGTCACGCAGTGCAGCAGCACCGGCACCGCCACCGAGCTGATATGCGACTGCGCCGCGTCGCACACGCTCCACAGGCTGCCCACCAGTGTGTCACACATTACAAAACGCAGCACACGCTCATCACATTACGTGGTAGAGCCATACTGCTCTACCACGTAATATAATGTATATGTGGCTATATAATTGTAGCACGAGTGTGTCAACTCGGAGAATGACCACGCTCGCACAAAACACTTACGTGAAATAGCAGATTGACATTGCTGTGTGTCGTACGGTAAGTGAGCGTACGGAGACCCACTATACTAGAAGAGAGGCATTCCATCTTAATCCTCAGGGATGACAACACATCTGCATTCTAATTCTTCATTGAAGATAAATGTAGATGTCTATGAGCCACAGCATCCACTTACCATCCGGTGGACTGTATGCTCATTTATCAGTCTAATCTATAGTCTATTTTATTTTACTACTGACTTCTGCTTAAAACCAGGTTAAAAATTGACTTTGGCATCCGATGATCGTACATCAACATATACTTATAAAACTTTACAAGGTCAACGAGACGAGATAAAACATTATAAAGTAACATACAACATAATGGTTGTAACACGATAATCAAAATAAAACTTGTGCGTTGTGTAGTGTGTACACGTACGAAGTGAAGGTTCTTTACGATTTATTACAATTTTTCTTTTATTTTATATTTTACATAAAAAATGTTAAATAAAAGTATACTCATGTAGCTTCCGGCGGTGAAACTTTACAAGAAAACGTAAAGTTCTATTTTTTAATACCGAATTAAATTATTTTATTCACTACGTGGTTATAGAAGTTTCACTTCAATAATGGAATTCTTTTTCTGCTATTTTAAGATTTAAATTTTTATTTGCAACGTTGCCGCAATTAAGCTGATTAATTCGTATTTTAAATCAAAGAACTCAAACAGTTGTCATGAATGTCAGTAGTCGTTCTGGGTTGTTAGTGTTTATGGATGTTCCTCGGCGTTCAATTCCTTGTCCCTTCTTGTTTTATTTTCTGATCACACCTGCGTTAATTTTTAAACTTGACAATCATTTGTTAAAATTTGACAAATGGATATTGCCATATGAAAATTACAATTGACGCAAAGCATCAGTGGGAACTACCGATATCTAAACTAGCAGATTTTTTACAGCATATGCTGCAGAGTTCTGCAGCATATGCTGTAAAAAGTGAGGCCTTACGATGGAGTAATACAACTGCAATGCTTCAATATTAACACATGACGGGAATAATGCTAAATCAAAATTAGTACTCTGGTTTAGGTTTAATACCAACAATTTGCTTTTGAACAATAGTAAAACTACCTTTGTTTTGCATAAGCTATAATATAATAAAATAATCATTAGCAATAATATAATCTAAGTCCGAAGGATTCTCTTAGAGAAAATTTTTAAATTATCCCAATCCTAGAAAAAGTGCAGAATCTATCTTCTAATAAGTTTTTTTAGAAACAATTTTTAACAAGGATATTATACTTGTATAGAATACATAAATTTCGATAAGAATTCTTGCAATTTATACTAATAAAATCATTATACTATATTCCATTGTTAAACCAAAAATAACAAGGCATCGCCTTTCATCAAAATCCTTCCATTAATCGCCTTCAGTCAAATAGACTTACTTTTCAATGAGCAGATTCTCCTGACACCAAATAAGAAAGCCGCGATGTTCAGCTAAGGCGTCAGTATTCAGCACGAGCACTTGCAGACACTGCAGCAAGTGGTACAGGACGTCCGGCCGGGTCGTGTTCTTCAATTCCTTTATTCATAAAAAAGTAGATTAAAGTAAAGTGGGTAAACGGTATAATAATATTAATGTCCTCCAAACCGATTTCGGTCACGGCGGCCGCTCCAACGGAGATAAGCTATCTGCGTAGGACAGGATTATATTTCCCGAGTGTATGCGCAAGCACAGGTGCACTCTCTGTGTCCTCACTCCTATGGTCCGATGGGACGGTAACCCGACACGACCGGAGGAAGATCAGGCGCAGAACCAACGGCTTTACGTGCTTTTCGAGTCACGGGGGTGAAACACAACCAACTTTCTGACTCCAAACTGAAAAATCTAATAACTAATTTTGGTCCGACCCCGAAGTTGAACCTGGAACCTCATGATCAGCGATCGCGTTTACGACTACTAGACCAACAAGACATTCATAATATTGTTCCGCGCCATAATTAACGCCTCGTACATGCAGCAGAATTAATCCTTCTAGATAATTCCATACCAGAACATTATACACCTAGTCGGTCGGGACCGTTGTATGCTCGATCATTCTAGATGTTTTAGTGGAAAAGGCCCTATATATGACCAGTAAGGACTGCAACCGGGGTAGTATTGAATTGGCAATACAATACAACAGCGAATACATCGAAGCAATATAACTGCGAATTACAGGAGTTTGTTGAGGATGTTCGGTAATTAAAGTGTCAATTTTCCTAAGTTTTTATTGTCACGAACCCCAAGCTCGTAACCATATAGTATGTGTATGTATATTTGTTTATATATTTATTTATTTATTTATGTGTGTGTGTGTGTGTGTGTGTGTGTGTGTGTGTGTGTGTGTGTGTATGTGCCTGTTTATTCTATATTGTGTATATTAATATTATAATTATATTGTGAGTACCCTCTAAATCTGCTTCTCTTTGAATCTGTCCAGTATTGGACTGCGAGAAGAAATTTTAATATGAAATAAGCAGTCCTTTTTACTAAATATCTTTTAATTTTTACATTGTAACATTACTTTGCGTGTACATAAATCATAAAATAAATAAAGTTACGACCATATAGGTCTCATAGCGTCCCACTGCTGGACACAAGCCTCCTCTAATTTATAAGAGTGTTATGCACTCTACATCTACAAGCTTTCGAAATATTTTAATCTTCAGTCATGAAGGTTTGCGGATGATTTTTTTTTCTTATTACATATAATGTTTTCTTATATTCACGCGAACACTACACATTAAATGAAATTAATTTTACGGATTTTATCGCGTTTAATTTTATATTTTGATTCTCGTCGTTTCAGGTAGGTGCTTTACACCACCCCAGGTCACGGAACGACTCGGGTGTTTGACGTTTCGATGTCATAGTTAGTCCGACTACCTTTAGCTTTTGAATATTGATGTTTGGTCCGATTTACGCAGAATGACCATACAGTACCCTAAAGTCTGGTAGTGGTATGCTTGTGTTTGGATTTAGTTTTATTAATTTTAGGTTCTCAAGCGGATGGTAGCAACCATTCATCTTCTCTATTTAAATTAGGATGTTTTTTTAAAATTTCAATAGTTTCGCGAATCTTCCTTGGTAGGTATCATCGCTGTTCTTTTGCGACGATTTGCCGACGCTCATGGAAGGCAGCAGTCTGTGATACATGTGCAAAATCGTCCCCACCATTACATCAAATTTGCTAGACCATAAATATATTTGAGTTGATAGACAATGATTGAAACGCGATAACATCCGTAAAATTAGTTTCATCTAAAGCATTATATAAATACATTCTTTGAAAGGTAATAGAAATATCTCTAGAAACCTTACTTGCAGCAGCTGATGAATGTATTGCAACTCTTGTGGTAGCTCATCTATGCAGAAGTGAAATTTCCCCGCGGAAGTTGGCCAAAAGTTGGTCATATCTTCTTCAACCGACTCGGCCATAGCTTCATGATCACCGAGTAGGTTTGGTGTAGATATCTGTAGATGAGACGAGAATATGGGTCAAATGTTATTTATTTATTTAAACACATTATTAAATTACAAGACAATTTGTCGTGCTGAGGCAAAAGAATTCAATTATATTTTGTAAAAAAGAAGACTTACCTATTTGCTTAACGTGTAGTGGCGGTGTAAGAATATCCCGTATCATCCCGCGGGTGTCGTAAGAGGTGACAGAGGGAAACAAATCTGGAGATGGGCAGCAGTGTCTTCCTTAGAACTACTGAAAAGAAATAAAACTGCGGTTGCCAACCCGTTTGCCAAGCGTGGAAATTACGGCAAATACTCCCCCTATGGAGCAATATATGGAGGAGACCTACTCGTATGTCCGACAGTGGACTTTAATAGGCAGTAATGGTATAACCGAATATATAAATAAAACATAATGAAATCAGTACCCGGATGACCGAGCTTTGCTCATTTTTTTTTTTTTTTTTTTTTTTTTTTTTTTTTTTTTCTCTCTAGGAAAATGGAATCAGGACCCGAACCAAGTCATTACGATTTCGTGACCGCTCGATATCCACTTGAGCTGTTACTATCATTAACACAGTGCCAAAATTTACCTTCTTATATTGTAGCAGTTTTTCATTGCCTGAAAACACGAACAAAAACACATTTTCTGAAAATGAATCCTAGCTAGATCGATTTATTGCCCCCGAAACTCCCTGAACACCAAATTTTATGAAAGTCGTTGGAGCCGTTTCCGAGATTCCGATTATATATATATATATATATATATATATATATATATATATATATATATATATATATAATCGGAATTGCGTGATAAGAGATAAATGTGGTATGCAAGATTATGTTGTGACCAGGATTAAGAAAGGAATGCTTCGGTGGTTTGGTCATGGAGGAAAGAGTGACAAAGCAAATTTATATGGCAGATGTGAACGGCAGAGTCGGGAAGGGACGCCCTAGAAAAAAGTTTATAGACCAAATCGGCGATATTTTTAAAATGGGCTACGTTAGAAGTACCCTTAACCGACGAGCATGTATGTGTAGATATATGGATGTAAAGGAGGCGAAAGAGATATGTCAGGATCGTGGCAAACGGAAGTCCGTAGTCTCTGCCTACCCCTCTGGGTGACAGGCGTGAGTGTTTATGTACGTTTATATATATATAAGAATTGCTCGTTTAAAGGCATAGGATTAATTAAAGCCTGACTTACATCAGCCGTGGCAGTGGCAACATCGGTGTCGGTGAGAGTGATGGTGTGGGCCGTCGCCAGTGGAGGCTGTTCTGCGGGAGGCAGGCTCACGGCCATGTCCAGCTGCTCGGTGATCGTCTCCACCGTTGCGGTCATTATCTACACGATATGTGTATTGTGATAGTACGCGGAAAGCATCTAAATCTATTAAAATTGTTAAAATCGATTCTGCATTTACCTGTCACAATAATTTTTAGTATAAAATATATAGATATAAATTGGAGAATTCTGAGATAATTACTGACACTGAAATAATTTTTAGAAAAGATTATAATTATTAATAAAGGACGGACTTTGGAAAGAGGCGGAATATTTAAGAGATTTCATATTGGGGAAATTAATTTGTTACAAAAGTGTAAAGATTAATGTTTCTTTCTGAAATATTGATTATATTTTATATTAGAATACTAAAAAAAATGGAATAAAAAAAAGTTGAAGAGTTAACAAAAGTTGAAAAAAAAAACAGAACTGAGGCATTTTTGTGTATTTACATACACCAGAAATCGAAAACCTTATAAATAAAGTTTTTTTTCGATAATGATAACGAACAGGTCCGTGATAAATAAAATTACTTTAGACCCAGCTAGCGACATCTGGTAAGTGTAAGATGATTAGCCCTCATTAAAAACATTTTTTTAAAACATAACTTAAAAAAGTTGAAACTATAACAGTATAAAATTGAAACCGTCATTACCATCATATTTCAGTCTTAGTCTTATCAAACGCCAATGACTTGTAAAACTAAGCATTCAAAACTATTATCATTATATCGTGCACTTAGTCAATTTTAGTAAATTTTAATGGCTTATATTAATCTGTTTACATATTAAGAGTCGATATTCTCGTAGCTCTATTCAACTTTTATATTATAAACAATAATTTATACAAAAAGAAATCTGAAATTTCAAAAAAATAATTCCGTCATTTGAGTTCTTGTAGTTTTTACAAGTACAGAATAAAAAATACATTATACAAAAACTTCTATCGATTAACCAAAATATGTCAAGTTTAAAGATTCTAAAGGAGTCGAGTCGAGAAAGAAATCTAGGTGTGGTCATTTATACCAATCAATTTGCCAATTTATTTTATTTTTAATAAACTGTAAAAACATGAATCAAAAAGTTTATAACTGTTTAATTTTTATTCCGCTTACGAAAATAAGAACTATACGGTAAAGCTTGCCGGAACATTTCAGATTTCCATAAACTTTTAGGTATTAATCGAATTACTCTAGAAAACATAGATATATATAAATCTAACACAGACAATCACGCAACAGATTTAAAAAAAACACACATGAAAGAAGCAAGGGTAAGGTAAGAAAGATAGACAAACATACTTGCGTATCTTCACCTGACGATTTAGTCAGAGTGGCGTCCGAACCGACGTCGCTTATGAGAGAGAGTTGCATGAAATGAACAAACTATACATCTATTATATAAGGCCCTATCTACTCTTGATATATATACATCAGGAAATTAGATTTTATAACAAATAATTAATGGCAAAGGGCTAATTATAAATTTAATCTTCAAGATAAACTCAATCGATGAAGAATAACCAATGTAAAATAATTTGAATATCTATTATTTAAGTTATAGGGGGTTAATATATTTATACTGCTAATCATCCTGAAGCCATATCTTTTAGAGGAAAAGGCCTTATAATACAAAAAACACTAAAAGAAAACAAACGACACGTGCTCGTATGATTTGGCGGGAAGCAGGAAGCCGCAAATAAATTTCATAAAATATAGAGAATATTATTGCACTAACAAACTGGGTTATCTATTTAAACTTTTTTTAAATTAATTGCATACTGGTAACATTACGTTTGTATGTTTAATTGGCAAAATATATGCTCTGTCTCACCAGCAACGCAAAATCAGGAATTTTCAAATGGAAAAAGCTAAAATTATGGCCTTTTTAGGTACCAATTAGGCGCCAAGTTAAAAAACTTGGTGCTTTAAAATTTTCACTGCAACGAACTGTTTAAATTTGCGTTGTTGGCAAAAACTTTTGCTAGCAACACAGTTATGGTATTAGATATACAATAAATTTTAATAGCAAAGTATTAAGGGCTAATTAAGTGCCGAAAGAGTATTGAAATTGAAAGTAGATGACGGTAATATTCTGGGAATGTTCGAGTCCAGGACCATAATTACCTGACTATATGAACGGCAGTTTTTGTTCCTTATCAGTTATATATTATGGATAAGATAGGTGAAATTTCTACTAAAATCCAATCAGAACGCCCCGACTCCACGTAGTCTTGTCTACCCTACCCCTACAGTGTTTTTGTAAAACTGTAGACGCGGATCAGCCGTCGTCTACTGTAGCAAATCGCAGGCATCTAGGCGAGCACGGGTGCCTGTGAGCAAATCACAGGCACCCATGCTCACCTCCGCACGTAACGGCGAAGGGGTTACACTTCCCGCAGCGCCGAAGTCGAAGCGAATTCTGAATGTCTTGAAAAATTACACACACACAATCACACAGAATGTTTTAGTCAAGACGATGGATCTTGTCGGAACATTTGCTGGGATCTAATAGGTATGATCTGATCAAAATACGTTATATCCATAATACTTTTAGGTTTAGTGCCAAAAATGAAAGTCACAGAATCTGGAGCCGATATATGGTGCTGTGGTCTTGCTATTTATTATATTTACCCTGTAAAATATCGCAGTTCGCAGTGCATTCGGACAAGTCAGAACAATGTGTGCCACCTAGATACAATATTCGTTAGTTTCCTTTAAGGATTTACCGTATAGGTAAAAAGATTGCAGGGACTTCGAAATCGACATTTGAAAGGAGTTAATTTTGAACCATAATCTAATAAAGTTTATCATAATTTCAATTGTATAAATATATATAATAGAAAATTATATACAGATTTTAGCTATATTTTGCACTAGCTGTTACCCGCGGCTTCGCCCGCATGGTCACTGGGAAATTAACTATCCATTGCTTTTTGAATTGAAAGAAAACTGAGTTTTATAGATTTGTCAGAGATGCAGCCATTAAAAGGAAAATGAGCAAAATTGATTCGTCAGCCTATTTAAATGTTTTGAAACGCAGCGTATAGGAAAGCATGAAAATAGCCTGTTTATTCCGAATGGAAATGGGATATTTATTTAACGAAAGGAAACTGAGCATAATTATCCGTCAGGGATACAGACTTTTGAAAAGAAACTGAGCTGAATTGATTCGTCAGAGATGCAGTTTTCTGAATTGAAAGGAAACTGAGCCAAATAAAAGATCCGTCAGAGATGCAGCCTTTTGAGTTGAAAGGAAACTGAGCTTAATAGGTCCGTCAGAGGTGCAGCATTTGGAATTGAAAAGAAACTGAGCTAAATAGAAAATTTTGAATTGAAAGGGAAGATCTGTGGGAATTCTGATTAATTGATTGTGGGAATTTCGGAAAAAAAACTAACTGAACACTATTTTAAGACGCTACTGTACACAATGTTATACGTTTTTCCATTCGGGGAAAGAATGTGGAGATTCTGGGCATTTGACAGACGCGAACATGCTACATACAGCTGACCATGAGAGAAGCACGGTTTTTCTAAGTTGACCCCCGCTACCTGCAACGTTTGCCCTTGCGCTTTATTAATTGTCATTGCAAAACTGAGCTTAATAGGGAACTGCAACCTTTTGAATTAAAAAAGAAGATCTGTGGGAATTATAGGGATCCGTGGTATAATAACATTTTCACCTTTTCCTACGTCTGTCAAAATTGTAGCACCGATTATATTCCGTCCAAGATGTGTCACACGCAGCCTTGTCCCGTTACATAACCGAGGAGCATCTAAATTTCGCATTAGCATGACTAGGACGCCTAATTTTAATTGAAGCTTATGTGAGGGCACACCTGACAACTCTAGAGAATTTAGAAACTCTACGGGATATGAAGTGCTCTGTTCTGTGTCCATAACTGTGTCTACTGACAAATACTCTGTTATTTCTCCTGCTACTTCGCTTAATATATCTGAATTTATTTTGTTTACGCTCTCATTTTTTGGTGCAAGAATCGCCCTTTCACATAACCATTTGTCTTCATGCATGTTGTTCGTTAAATATGAATAAACGCTCGCAATTAATTCGGAATGACTCTGTACTAAATTACAAAAATCTCTCGTCAATTTAACGCAGCCCTCAGCATCCGTTTCCAACTGCCCATAGCTAATTTTTAATAGTGTGTCAGCATAGTTTCCAGCATTAATATCATTATACAAATGCACTCTCATATTCGTAGTTAAACTGAATTTTGTCACCTTTGCTTTTTTAAACGTTTTTGCGTTGCAATGGATTTTCCTGCCCCGGTTCCGGCCTTTTTTTTCTTCGTACTTGCCTAATAATTTTCTCTTTGCTATTTCTAATATATTTTCACCTTTTAAATATTTTTTAAAATCAAAACAACAAAACCGATTCAAGACACAACACGAATCCGAAAACGATAGCCAAAAAAATCGAATCAACTTAAACCAAATCACAAAACAAATCGCAGAAAACCGAAATCGAAAGCAGTAGTCAATATCAATATAACCAACAAAAAAGAAGTAAGTGTATAGGTACCGTATAATAACAATATTTCAAAGGAATATACTATTAATATTCCTTTTAAATATTGTTAAACAATCTAAAACAACGAAACGAATTCACTATTCTAAATAAACAAAATCCAAAATCAAAGCCAGAGTCTAAATATGTATAAAGGAATACCAACCAAATCAACAAAACCGATCCAAGAAACTACACAAATCCGAAAATGAAAGCCAATATAAATCCATTCAACCTTAACCAAATCACAAAGCAAATAACAAACAACCGAAATCGAAAGCAGCTAGTCGAATAAGCTACGAAATAGAAACAATTTAAGCGTATAGGTACCGTATGCATTATAAGTTGACGCGCGGCTCAACGGTACATGTCAGGAAACTTTTCGTTACCGCTTTTTAAAAACCTTGTAACGACATCTAGCGGAATCAATTTAAACTATGTATACGTTAGTTAATAAGAACTCTCAAAAATATTTTTCTTATAATTTTGCACAATTTTTCTTATTGTAATACCGATTCATTCATAACCACATATAAGAACTGTATCATTTCCGTTCAATAAATATTACTAAGGCTTATTAATAAGGCTTACTAAGAACTGTTTCTACCACAGTTAAGTAATAGTTAAGGGTGAAAGCGTGACAGGTGGTGATAGTATTTCTGATCCATACTTATAATCACGCCTGTAACCCTTGCGGGGCAGGCAGAGCATTAACTGATTACTTAATATCGTCTGCGAGGTTATCGCCTATTCTGTGAATTACAATACACCAAAACGTTTGAAGAAAATCAGCTGGTGAATTCTATGTTTTTTATCGCTCTCTTCCCGGTCCTGCGTGGAAAAATACAGATCCATAAATTTTTTATCTTAATTTTGGTAAAAAGAATCCAGATATTCTGACCTTCTGTGTTCGTCCATCATACCGTCGTCCGTCTTGTAGAATCACGGTGGCGCCACCTAGCTGAATTTAATTTTGCAAAATATTCGATTTTCCCACGGGAATGATATGTTTTTCCGCTTAAAAAAGTAGCCTATGTCACTCTACAGTCACCTAACTATCCCCATACAAAAAATCATGCCATGCCGACGCTCTGTTACGACGTGAAAGAAGGACAAACTTGTGCAACATATTCGATTTTCCCACGGGAATGAGATGTTTTTCCGCGGAAAAAAGTAACCTTTGTCACTCTACAGCCACCGAACTATCCCCATACAAAAAATCATGCCATGCCGACGCTCTGTTGCGACGTGAAAGAAGGACAAACAAACAAACACACTTTCGCATTTATAATATTAAATATTAGTATCTATTGTCATCTAATTTATTAAAATCAATTAAAATTAAGATACGTATGTACAAGATTGGTACAACATGACATTGTAAATTAATAATTTATTATAATTTGCACTGGGTTTCTTGCAAAATTATTAAATCTCTGAAGAATCGTAATATTACCAGTAACAAGTCTTTTATGATATAGATATAAGAAATATGTACTAGACTCGTAAACGTTGGTAAGGATTCATTAGAAATTCTTTTTTTTTTAAACAATTTATTCGCTTCAAATATGAACGTGTACGAGTCTTACTATTATTCAGCTATAATCTAATTTCATTTAACTTTATCTCTATTATTATTTTATATTTTACACATTTTTAACAAATAATACCAAACCAGAAGCGCTATAAGACTGTCTCCATATATTTTAAATATTTGAAATATGGAAACAATCGTCGAACATGCAGACGTGATAGAGTACTTAAAATTTGTTATTTTAAATTGAAACTTATTTACAGTGGAGTAAGGTGTATTTTCGATCGTCTAACATAAGTGTCCCGCCAAATCAAACGAAGAAGATGAGTGGTGTATATTGTGGTGGTGTGGATACGTACGTGGGGCATATGCACCAGCACGCCGCCCAGCGCGCCGCGCTCAGGCAGCGCGTCAGCCGGTGCGGCGCTCGGGCGGCTCCTCTCCCTCTCTCTCTCGCGCTCCCTCTCCTCATCCCACTGGGGCTTCTTCATCTGTGTCTCGCACCACGTCTCCTCTATCGACGGCTGCAATATTCACAATGGGTGCGTTTGGCAGAAAAAAGCTCTAGCAAGCACTTGTAAATAAAATGGCGAAACTAAACAGTTTTCGGCCAGGACACATTTGCTTCAGTAGCGCTGATACAATCCGCCATTTTGCTTATTTAACTTGTTTTTTTTGAAGTAGAGTTTATAAGTTGTTTTGTGCAAAATTAGTGTTAAGTAATATAATGACATAAATAAACATATACATGTTATTAAAAATTCATGATTGGTAAGTTTTTAATATGAATACTTTACAAACATATATTTACATTAGGTTAGGTTCCCCCGTTAAAACTAACTTCGTGTCCTAGAGGAAAATAGCTACTTACGATTTGACAACGCTTACCGCTTGCGATCACCATTTTGCTTACAAGCGCTTGCTAGCGCTTTTTTCCGCCAAACGCACCCAATATACACAAACTTAAATAAAATGTTGCTCTTAATAATAAAAAACACTATACGATCTGAAAGGGACACATAGGTACCGCAATGACAAACGAAAAAAACATCATATTAATTATTAATATAAAATGATAAGTAGATACTTAATTTTTTTAAGTTTCGCGCACAGCTTGGTGATATTCGTTGCTGACGGCTGCGACACCTGCAATATAATACGTAATGTGACGCACCTCAAGCGACGCACGCGACGGCTGCAGTGAGCGGACGAGACGCACGATCAACTGCTGGCAAAGCTGCAATGACTGCAACACCTGCAAACAATACGTCACGTTACGCACCTCGCGCGGCACATGTGACGCCAGCAGTGCGCGCATGAAGCGCACGACCAGCTGCTGGCAAAGCTGCACCGGTTGCAACACCTGCAACACAATACGTCACGTGACGCATCTCGCGCGGCGCATCCGACTGCAGCAGTGCGTGTACGAGGCGCACGGCCAGCTGCTGCTGAACCTGCAAAGGCTGCAACACCTGCAATACAATAGGTCACGTGACGCACCAGGCACTGTGCACGCGATGGTAGCAGAGCTACTAGCAATACTGCAACGGCTGCAACACCTGCGATACAATACGTTACATGGTGTACCTCCAGCGACGCACGCTACGGCAGCAGTGTGCGCACGAGGCGCACGGCCAGCTGTTGCGAAAGCTGCAACAGCTGCAACAACTGCAATACAATACGTCACGTGACACACCTCGCGCGGCGCACGCGACGGCAGCAGTGCGCGCACGAGGCGCACGGCCAGCTGCTGGCAGAGCGCCGCCGCGCTGCAGTACGCGCACGCGCCCGCCGCACACCCAGCTGCAACACCACACACCGTCTCTTTAGCCACCCCCACCGTAGCAGTCCACTGCTGGACATGAGCCTTTACCTTTTTTTCATGTTATATAACTTAATCGCGGGACTTAGTTTTGGGTTATTTTAAAAAAATATGAGAGTGGCAAACAAACAGAGTCCACCTGATGATAAGTGGATACCTTGGCGCATAGACATTTACATCTGTTCTCGATTAAGAATCAAAATGCAAATGCGTTGCCACCCGTGAAGACTAGGATAGAATTCCTCGTTTCCAGTAAAAAGGGTCTGCGCTTCTCTATACTCACCATAAGAAACACAGCGGCGTTAAGCTGCTATTATACGCTAGCATTCCGTAAGAGCGTGATTCTTCCCCGGTCGATTTTTGCTACAACCAAAATATAGCTGTAGCATGGTTCTACCACTTAAGAACCTGACATTCACGAAAGTGAGATGACCTTTAACAAAAAAATGTTAACAGGGCTTGCAAACGCCTACGGCGCCTAACCAAAGGTATAGCCACACCATTGCGGAGCATTGTTGAGGTGTTTCCACATCCGATAGATGACGATATAGCCATACCTACTGTATTTATTTATAATGTTATATACAGACGCCAGTAAAAATATCAAAAATGCAAGTCTGTCTGTCTCGATAGCCAATCCTATGAAAAGTTTTGATTAGGGCTAATTCACCCTTCTAATGGGGAGGTACAGGTCCAGACGTGAACTGCTTACGGGCTGATAATATTATTGAAGTTATTTTTAGTAGTACTTGTAGTAGTAACAGCATAAGAAAATAATGGAAATCGCGTATAAAAGTTACTTCCGGTAGATGACTAAATCACAATGTAATGTGTATAGGGCGTAATAGAGTCCACTACCCCATGTCATCCCGTATTTATGTCATCCAGTATTAAACTTTCATAAGCTGTAATGAATGAACGATCACGGAAATTACACTCTTCATAGAGCTTATGGGCATACGCTTCGTCTCATTTCTAAGTGAGCTTAAGATAAATAACGACAAAAATACGTTTGCCGAAAATCCTGATCCTGCATGCAGCAGGAGGATAAAAGGAACTGTTTCAGTAGACTGTTACATATAAATCCAGTTTTGTGATTTGAAAAATAGTATTTTGTTTAAGCATAAAGACACGCGATCGAAGATAATATTATTTATATCGCAGAAATTATTTGTATTTTTGCTCCATATCCCTCTCTGAAATGAGGAAACGCCTGTGCCCAACAGTGGGGCTAATCGAGACTGTAAATTTTTGAAATATTAATTTATAATCTATATTATCTTTCTTTTCGCTTAACAAACTATTTCATGTTGGTCAGTATAGTTTAGTAAAAGTACTATAACGCAGGCATAGCACTTCTCAAAGACATATTTGAAGCTTAAAAAAGTAAGCAGGACGCTATAGGTGTTTTAGTGACCTATGTTAGACATTCATTTGCGTAAATCATAATATGTTGTTGTACAAAGCATACTTGTCTAGCCCGTAGCAAAAAGTAGTTATCAATGGAACTGGATGTGATGTAATTACGGGCGTGCCCCAAGGATCAATATTGGGACCATTGTTCTTTTTAATATATATATATATATATATATATATATATATATATATACTTCTTGGTGGAACTTCACTTAGTGTAGCTATACTAAAATGTAACGGGACTCCGCGACCTAATTAAAAATATCTTAATTGTTTCGTCACAATCACAATTAATTTTGAATAATAATATTAATGTAAAAAAACAATTGTGGCGTTGTTACCACCAATATTTTTGAGTTAAGGTACTTGCCATGCTCTATGGTGTTCATCTGGTTAGATTTAAGCATAAGCCGAAGCAGCTTTGTAGCCTCGCTGCTTACATTCTGAATGTTGATTCGGCCGTGTTGCAGCTCCAGCTGTAAATAACAATGCATGTAAATTTACAATTGGACCGTATTATGCAGATATAGCTCAAACTAGCCAAAATAATGATCCAGAGGTTCTTGTTTTCAGTTTATTTACAAGTGTGAAGAAAGTGAAGAAAGACTTCTGAAACGAGTAATCCCAAATCTACATTTAATTGTATTTAAAACTAGCTGTTCCCCGCGACTTCGTCCGCATGGATATTATTACGATTGGATTTCATGGGTTTTAGTGTTTTTGTGTGGAATCCTCATATTTTATTTTCTAAATAAATTTAACTTACGTTACTCCTTACAAATCAGCTACCTGACAGTGAAATCGGTTCCAATCAAAAATGGTTCAGCCATTTTGTAGATTAGCCGAAACAAACAGATAAATAGACAGACAGATAGACATACAGAAAGACAAAAATTTTATATGTAACGTATATACTTTCATAAGCATTTAATGAAAAGCTGTTTTTTAATATTACAAACAGACACTTCAATTTTATTTATTTATTTATATTATATATGATATACATAACATGATATAACAGAGCTTCTGCCACAAAAATGCATTTATATTTTAAATCTGAATAACTTTATGTCTTTCAGGGTAGAAACATTCCTGCACAACACGGTCAAATTTAAAAAAGACAAGCCTAAAGATATAATTTACACAAAACGTATAAGTATTTCCATAATCACGCTATGAAGGTTTTCAAATCAATGGTTAATAGTGATAATGATGACGATAAACCTAAATAAACGAACAAAGTTATAAATCAAAACAAATCGTAACAATGACTGTGATATTGTTGGGTCTCGTATTAGTACAAATTAGACAATACTTAAAATTAATTACCTGCTTCAACAAGATATCCAGCATCAGTATGCAGCACGTCATATTTTGAGGCTTCATCTCATCGTCCTTTTCTTTTTCTTTATCGTCTTCAGGAGAACCGTTTGTGTCAGTGTCCTTAGACTTAGTGCTCTCTGGGAAGTGAATCAAAATGCCATTGTTGATGAACGTAAATATAAAATAGCTTGCGTTGGATTCAATCTTTTTAATGTAATAAGAGTGACAAACGAGCACACAGAAAAACTTGGACATTTAAAAAAAAAAGAAAAATTTATTAAAGAAATGGTCTTTAATTATCATCAATAAACTTTTCTATCCATGAGAATCCAGGGCGGGTCACTAGTACAGAATAAAATTATCGATACTGCAAAGCATACCTGATGGCGCTTGGACAACGATCTCGGGCATATTGACCACGCAGTGGCTGAACAGATCGAACAACTGCGACAGTGGTATTTTGACCTCCAGCAACGAAATTGTCTGTAACAATTTTAAATACGTGTATTGTATAAATTTCTTGCTATCAGTCTAGCGGATTTTCACTAATAAAACAGTTTTAGCTGCTATCGGAAGTTTGATTATATTTATGGTTTCGTCCAAAGACATATCTAATACTGCACACGTATTTGCGAGTGACTTATGCTGTTACAATGCTAGAGCACGCGCAATCATTCAAGTACCGACGACACATTTTTCTGTACAATAGATGTATCTCTCCCTCTCTTTCAAAATATAGTTTATAAAATGAAAATATAATCACTGATTGTTCCAATTCAACTACAAAAAATCGTTTTTAAATTTAAACACCAACTTAAAAGACAATTTTTTTAACAATAAGTGACAGTATAAATAACACAGGTAGCTGCGGGTCCTAAACTAAGCGCAGCTTGTATCTCACGACCCTGGCATGCGGTACGAAACGGTTTGTCGCTGGACCTCATTTACATCGAGATAGTGTTAATATTACGTGCTTGTCATCGGTCTTTAAAAGTAATGCTTCTAATACAAAAACTAAGGAAGTATTGTTTTACTACATAAATAAATTTAAAATAAATAATAGCGCCTGCAAGAGATGATTCCGCAATAGTTGGAATAGGAATGATTACGTCCGGGTCTGTGTGTGTGTGTGTGTGTGTGTGTGTGTGTGTGTGTGTGTGTGTGTGTGTGTGTGTGTGTGTGTGTGTGTGTGTGTGTGTGTCTGTGTGTGTCTGTGTGTGTATCTTATGTGCTATTTAATTAGCTCTTCAGTGTCATTATATGAAAGAGTGTACAGCATGTTCTTTAATATGGTTTTACATGAGGAAAGTGGCTGGTCTTTAAGGTCAATTATTTTTAATATTTTGTTGTAGATGAAAGGATGTGAGATGGTGGGGCAACGTTTGGCCAGTTTTGACTTTACGATTGGAACGGGGATTCTACTCAATACTCAATAAATACTTTATTGCATTCCATAGGTTACAAAAGGTGTTACATAGTTTTATGGTTTCTCTATAGACCCTCATGGGCACAGCAATATTATGAAGGAGGAACATTTATTTTGTTTTATTATTATTATTGCTAAATAATTATTTAATATTAACATTCATTATATTATATAAACATACACACATTTAATATGTAATACGGCTATTATAATTGTTATTATTTATTAATTGATTTGATATTTGACATATCATTATAGGTAGCACAATTGAATTTTTATTAAATTATTTGAATCATTTTAAATTTTATTATAATTTTTTATTGTAATTTATTTAGTAGGATGGCATTTCCTTATTACCTAACATTTATATTTATATCTATATTATATTATATTTTTATCTTCTAAAAATTCAGAAGTACTATAGTAACACTTGTTTATAAGTAGTTGCTTTAATTTTTTTTTCAAATGGTTTTTCGTTCTTAATGTTTTTTTATATATTCAGGTAATTTATTATATACTTTTATAGACATGGCAAATGGGCTGGATGAATGAGATTTTAGTTTTGAAGTTGGTAGCATTAGTTTGTTTCTCTGTCTTAGATTCCTAGATATGATGTCATCGCGTTTTGTGTACAAGCTGGATTTTTTGACAAATTTGCATAGTTCCAAAATATGGATATAGGGCAGACTTAAAATGTTATACTTCTTAAAGTAAGGCTTACAGCTTTCTGTGCTTTGTAGATTAGCTATGATCTGTATTAGTTTTTTTTTTGTTTAGTTAATAAACTTGAGGCCTCAGTGCTGCATTACCATAGGACAATGCCGTAGCTGAGCCATGCATATGCATACGCGTAGTAGGTTGTTATCGCGGTGGTTACATCTGTTGTTTTTTTTTACTTCTCGTAACGCGTACATAAAGCTGCTTAACTTCCTATGTAATTTTTCTATATGTGGTTTCCAAGTAATATGGGTATCTATTATTAGGCCCAGTAGGTTGTGCTCGTTAACTGTATCTGTAGTGAAGCCGTCATTATCTATTTTTATATCTAATTTTGGTTTTTGATATGGGTGAAAAGACATTATTTTAGTTTTCGATAAGTTTATCCGCAGGTTATGTTTAGTTAGCCAGTCCGTTGTTCTTAATAATATATTGTTAATTTTTTCTGTTAGATTTATTGGACTTTCGCTTGATATAAGAATAGAAATATCGTCCGCAAACATGACACAGTATTCCTTGAGAGCCTCTGCAAAGTCATTAATGTAAATTAAATACATAAGACACCCCAGCACACTGCCTTGAGGTATTGAGGCGTTAATAGTTTTAGTATCGGATCAAATTTTTTTTCAATTTTGTGTAATTTGTCATTAAAGTACTCAATTTCTACTATTTGCGTTCTATTGTGTAAATATGATTTTAACAGATTGTAGCACGGGCCTCTGATTCCTATGTCATATAATTTATTTAGTAATATGTTATATTGCACTGTATCGTATGCTTTTGACGTATCTAATAGAATTCCTATAACATATTTTTTATCGTTAATTATATTACGTATTTTTGAATGTAATTATAAATTGCTAGAACTGTTGATTTGTCTTTGCGGAATCCGTTTTGACTTTCATTAAATATATTATATTTTTCACAGAATTTATATATACGGTCGTATAATGCTTTTTCAAATATTTTAGAGGCTGTGGGCAATAAGGCGATAGGTCGATAGTTGCCTGGGTCCGTTTGTGTACCTTTTTTGTAGATGGGTTTCACTAGTGAAAGTTTTAGTATATCTGGGAATACGCCTTCTTCAAAAGATTGGTTTACTAATAATGTTAGTGGATATACTAAAGCGCTTGCACATTGTTTGAACAATGTTGGGGGAATCTCATCAACACCGTGGCTTAGTTTATTTTTTAGACCATTTAATATTTTAAGTATTTCTTCAAATCCTACTCTGCCATAAATATTGAGTTTTCTGATGGATGTAGAACAGGAAGACCCTTTGCTTGTGGATGAACTGTTTCACCGATATTGGAGAAGTAATCAATAAATTTATCGGCGATCTGTTTTGGGTTAGAATAAATTTGGTTGTTGATATTTAATTTAATATTCGATTTTACATTTAAGTTTATTTTATTTGTGCGTTCTCGAACAATATGCCACATTGTTTTTATTTTATTGTTAGACTGCTTTATCTTGTTTATATAGTGTAATTTTTTTGACGTTGTTATAACCCTTTTTAATATTTTTTCGTATTTCTTATAATAATCTGTAAGAATTTTATTATTTGACCTTATAACGCGCGATTTAAGTAATCTTTTGTTATAACAAGACTTTTTTATACCAACGGTAAGCCATTGTTTTTTATAGTTGTTTTTTATTTTTATTACTTTTTTTGGTATACAATTATCTAGAATGTTAATTAAAGTTTGATGAAATATATTATAGTTATAGTTTATGCCTTTATTTTTATTAAGTATATTTTCCCAATTAAGCGATTCCCACGCAAGTTTAAAATTTGCTATATTGTTTTTGTTGTATTGTTTTTTTTTTCGGTGTACCATATTTTTGTTTATTTTGTTTAGAAAGATTTAGATGAATTATTGTGGCCCTATGGTCAGACAGGCCCAATTCTTGCACAGTTATTTGTAGGTTTGTATCGCTAAAGTTTAGATAAATTAAGTCTAAGCATGTTGAAGTTGTTTTAGTGACACGTGTTGGACTGTGAATTTGTAGATGAAGGATTATATTGGAGCATTAAGTCTGAAAGTCTATTTCTTTTATTTCTTTTTGTTGTGTCGTTTTTTATATTTTTTTTGCAGCATGTCAACATTAAAATCTCCGCCCAATATGATTTTATGTTTAGAAAATTTCTTATTTATGTAATGAAGAACAGTTTTTATTTTTTCGTAAAAGAAATCTTCCTTCTTTCCATTATAGTACAATGTCAACAAGATAGTATTATTTTTTACAAGCTCTATTGCACAAATTTCCACTACATATTCAATTGACATATTGGAAATTTCTTTTAGTTCTAAATATTCTACCGTTTTTTAGCAGGATGCAGACGCCGCCTCCGGTGCGCGTTGTTCTACAATACGATGCGGCTACTTGATAGTCGGTTAAATGTATCAGTTCGAGTTTTTCCGGAGATAGCCATGTTTCAGTAAAGCATAATATCTGGTAATCGGGATTACTTTGTACAAAGTCTTCTAATATATCTACTTTATTGCAAATGCTCTGAATGTTCTGGATAACTATTTTGTCTTGTAAGTCTTTGGTTTCGAAAAAAGGATTTATTGATGCTTTTGTCGTATGTATCTTTATTATATATGTCTTTGTTATTTGTTGTATTTGTATTCAATATTACCTTTTTTTTATTTTTTTTTTTTGTGGGGGTGGGATTTTTTTGGGCTTTTTTTTCTTGTTTTTTTTGGGGGGGCCCCGTGGGTATATCTGTATTTATTTATTTACTTCTACGTATAAGTTATCATCTTTTATCACAGCATATAAAAAAGTGCGTTTGCTTCTTAATTCATTGTAGTCTGGGCGACATCTTACGGTTTTGTGCACTTTGAGTGTGACATTGTAAATAAACAGCTGTCGCACCCGTAGTACTTTAAATTCTTTATATAGAGAATCTGTGGAGTATATAAATGGCTTACTTAGAATTACTTTAATTAGTGCACGTTGAGCCCTTTCCAATGTCATAAGTGCAATCCTCCCAGCGCGGCCCCAAACACAAATGCAATACTGCAGTATAGATTGGCAGAGTGCAAAGTATACCTGACGTATTATATCTACGGGAGTGCAAACTCGCAATTTTTACATGATGTAAATGAACTTTCGCACACGGGAAGACAAATTAGAAATTTGAGCATCAAACGTTAGGTTTTCATATATGATAATTCCAAGATATTTGGTTATTCTAGAGCGCGCTATCGGTTCACAGTTGGTATCGCAGCCATGCAGATTGGTATAATCATTTTTGCAGTAATGAATTTTCAAGGACGTAGCGGTCGGACTTGTGCGTCTCGATTTATAAAAACATATGTATGTAGTCTTTTCCTTATTTAGTGTAAGAAGATTTAAGTTTAAGGACATGGCAATACGAGATAGGCCTTGTTCCGCGGTACTGTTTACTCAACTCCATGTCGTATCGTGGGATAGGTGATAATAGATAGGAGAGATTGGTTGTATCGGAATCAAAAGGATGCGATGAATGCCTGTTCAGTAGGTGGAGAAGCTACTATTTCACGGGATTCGTGTACATCTAATTAAGATGGCTTGAAGTTTTGTTCCAGGATATCATTCATGTACAGGATGAAGAGAGTGGGTGCAAGGGTACTGCCTTGTGGAACGCCAAAATGAACATTCAGTTGCCTACTTGTTTAATTTCCTACTATTACACATTGTTTTCTCATTTTTAGGTAAGTTTCAAACCATTGAAGTGTATTTCCCCTTACTCCAGCGGCTTCTAGTTTTTTCAAAAGGAGGCCAACAGAGACTATGACAAAAGCTCGCGACAGGTCGAGAAAAACACCTATGCAATATTGACCATTCTCCACGTGTTGTGATATCTGATCAACTAGTGCTGCTACAGCATCCTCGGTCGATTTTCCATGACGAAACCCATATTGCTTATTTGAGATTATCCTATTTTTATGTAGAAAACGGACAAGTTGCTTATTCACTATCTTCTCTAGAATTTTCGATATTATACTCAGTAAAGAGATTGGTCTGTAATTTTATTTATTTATTTATTTATACTTTCATGCAAAAAAAAGTACATATCCGGCAAGGTCAGAGAACCATTTTTGAAAATAGGTGACACTACTGCAGTTTTCCAGGAATCTGGAAAAACTTCCATTTCTAAGCTTAAATCAAATATGTGAACGAGGGGAATAATAATGTTATTGCAGGTCTTTTTAAGTAGTGTAACAGTGACATGGTCTAATCCTGGAGAACTGTTGGTATTTAGGTTATAAATAATTCGGCTCACTTCTTGTTCATCAGTAGGGTGCAGATAGGAAGAGTTTGGGTTAGATTTTGAACATCTGTGATTCTTGATTAGTAGGTCTTGAGGCGTGCCTAGGTTTTTTAAGACTTTTTTAGCGAAGACCTCCCATTGAAGACATTGGTCTAGGGACTGACTAGAAGGCGACTGAAATTGAGTTGTTCAGATCCTTAATGAGTCTCATGGAGTGGTACTCCAACGTTGAATTATAGCACAGACTTTTAATTTTATTTCAAAGGTTACGCGCATTGTCATTGTTTTTCGTAATTTCCTTTCTGTTATATTTAGCTTTAATATTCCTTAGTAGAGTGTGAAAAAAGTACCTATACCGCGTGTAGTACAGTAATTTACGTTGGTTATTCGGATCAGCTCTACACTCAAGGTGCAGCTTGTCCCTGTGTTTCATGCATCTTATTAATCCAGGAGTGATCCAGCTCTTTATGTTGCTCTTTCTACGACTCTGCTTTAATTTCCTGCATGTAATTATTGATGGCGTATGTCATAACATCGTTAAATTTGTGTGAGGCGGTGTTAACATCATTATCGCTTGTTATTTCGTTCCAGTTCAGACTGTTAATATATAAGGCAACCGACTCCCAGTCTGTTTTCCGTATCGTGCGTTTTTTACTTTTATGCTGATAGATTTGCAAAAGAATTTCAGCTAGGGCTAAGCCATGATCTGTAATAGATGATTTGCAGACGAGACCAGAGGATATTATCTCAGATTTTATGAAGATGTGGTCAAGGCATGAGGCTCCTCTAGTTGGCTTTTATATCGCTGAATATTGACCATGAGATGCCATCAAGCATAAATAGTTGCCCACTTGTGCATTAATTGGATCGTTTATGTTAATATTAATATCGCCTGCAATTACGAGAGTTCGTTTGCATTGTATGTCAGAGAGTACAATATCTAAAGAGGAAATAAATCGATCTGTATTTGAAAAGGAAGGGGAGCGGTAAATCCCTAAGACTGTGATGTCGTTATTTATATTTATGAGGAGACTATCAGCATCATCCAATTTTTGTGTTTGAGGTGCAATTTCACTATTCCATGAGTGTTTGACGTATACGACGATCCCACCGCTTTTGTTGATTTGTGATTTTTGACAATTGAACGACAATAATAGCAAAACGCATTCCTCCACAACTAGCAACGTTTCAAATGTAAAATATGTCTAAATCAAAGATACACTCTGATCGATAAAGCATATAATTTTTTGCGTATTTTTGACTCATTTTTTTAATATTTCTTTTTCTAGTAATATCCGTAGTTTGGTTAATCCATTGCTAATTTAATTAATATAAAATACAACTAATATTTCCGTAAGAAATTATTAAACCTTACATTTTCATAACAAATTTCCTTCCCCAGCTGTTTGCGAAATATTTTTCCTCATTCTTAAATGATGCCGCGCTGGTGGCAGAAAAAGTCTTGAAATCCCTCATTAGCAGGTTACAAGACTAGGTGAGATATGCTCTTGGAATTGGAATATAATTAAAAAATACAAGAACTGACTGCATAATGAGCGACGTACCTGAAACCATTCTAGCACAGGCAGCACAGTTTCCGGACGTGGCTTGTCCGTCACCTTGAGCACCGCGAAGTTGTACAGGTTGCGCTCATCCACGCCCACCATGCTGCCGTCTGGCTCTAAAATCTTCGCTACTGGCACTTTAAGCTCCATCAACTCCTGTGGGAATTAGTAAACATCCTGTTTGTTTATCTTTCATAATTGAAAGGGACAGAAGCTTTTCACAACTTAGTTATTGATATACAGGAAGGTAAGACTGCCTTCCTAACTAGAATGATATAACAAATGCTTAGCGTCAGAAATAAGTAAGACGGTTGTACCTAATCAAACGGAATTCTAGACAGTAAAAGAGTTCTACCATCTGGAAGAAAAAACGCAGAAAGGTCTTACCTTTTCCGGAACCTCTGTACAGATTGCTTCCATCCATGCAGGCATAATATAGTCCCAGATGGACTGTGTGATGATACCATAAGGGATCAAGCTGTATAACCTAAAAAAAAACAATTTCTTTAAAAAATGTAAAAATTTTGACCGTCGACGAAAAAGGCGGCTAACAACTAGTACTCGTAGTCACTGCTAATAAGTAAGATAATTGGTATTAGATGAAAACGTTTGAGAAAGTAAATAAAGACAGTTTTGTTGAGTTTGGTGTTACAATGAACTTGACTCAAAATAAAATGATGACGTTAGTTAAGGGAGCAAGCAGGCCAGCAGCTAGTAGGCGTATTAGGAGCAGTTTTTTACCGCTCTTTTTTTTTGTAAGTGTTCTTGACACACCGTGATAGCACTGCGAGGGTTCTAAGGGCAGTAAATATTGATCTCGGGACGTCTTTTAACAACACAAAGCGAAAGAGGGGCCCCAGTTGTGATCCGAATGGAAATACCAGGATCTCTCGTATACGCTGACCTTTAAATCGCTCCCGCAGCGAAATGTATCCATGAGGATTACAATGCCAGCAGCGGGTATATATGCTGCATGCTACGCACCTGTTGAGGCCATCCTTGAGGTGCTGCGTCTTGGATGCGAGCGAGTCCCAGTGGCCAGCTTGGCGCGCGTAGGCGGGCGGCTGCGGAAGCAGACAGGCCAGCAGCACGCGCGCGTGGCTCGCCGCCGTGCTGCGCACCCACGCGCACACATGCTCTGACTTCAGACGCTCCACCGTGTTTGCGATCTCGCCTACCCGACCACACTTATAATTGATTTCTTGTTTACGCGAACACTACACATTTAAATGAAACTAATTTTTACGGATTTTATCATTACTTTACAGTACCCATGGTCTCCTCGTGACCATTGGTGCTTTAAATTACTCGAAACGGCGGATTTTTAAATAAATTATTAATCGCGATAAAACCTTTAAAAATTAAATTTTTTTGTTAAATAAAAACTATGTTAAATAAAAAACCAATGTATTTTAAATGTATTAATATAACCTCATCTTTAATCTCCCGTCAACTAAAGTTAGTAGTAAACATCCAACGTGATTCATTTAATTGGTGAAAGGGACAATAATTTTAATAAGTACAGTCTATGGTAATTTAAGTAATAAAAGTACATTTATCATGTTAAGTATTTGAAAAGAATTGTTCGTAACTTGTTTTTTAATAGAAATCACATCAATATAATATTCACGGGTAGTAGCAAAGTATTCGATCGCATTAAACATTCCATACTTAGCAAAACTTACCAACTGTTAGTAAAAGAGGGAATGATTTTACATATTATTAGACAAACAGACAAGGCAAGTGGTAATTTAATACAGTTTTACATCTTGCTGAATGTGTGTCTCATCTGTAATCCCTCAGGGTTCATCATTTGGCCCTCTGCTCTTTATTTTCTCCTATTTAATTATCTAATAATAATAATATAACAAATAATAACGTTATCGTTTTCTGAACTTTCCCCGAACTTTAATGATGATATCATAGTTTTCAGAGTATTTAACGATTCTACTGACGCAGGTCTATTGGAAAATTATCATATGAACATAAATAATTTTTGCATTTAGAAGAAATTAAATTTATATATTTCGAAATCTCATTCTATAATCTACTTTGGATGAAAGTGTAACATATTAGAGTTTACATATAAAGACAAAAAACTTAGCAGTTTACAAACGTAAAGAAATGAAAGATCTTGCCGTCACTATTAATAATAGACCATTGTTTTTTCAACACGTCAAAACCATCGTTAACAAAACATATAACGCCCTTGGTTTTAATATAAGTTACAAACTCAATCAATTAAAATCAATCAAAATGTTATTCACTAGTCCAAAGCTCATAGGCTCCTAGGGCGTTGCGAGCGATGCGACTACACCAGCTGCCGTCATCGGGGGGCGCCGAAATCAACAAAAACGCTACCACTGGGCACCAATCACCAATTCATTCACTCTTATCACTAACATTCCGTTTTGTTGACGCTAATTTGGCAGTCAAAGCAACGAGTATTTTGTTGCTTACAAGACAGTAAGTTACTCTTCGGAAAAAGGACTTACTGGCATCTTTTTGATTGATTGTCAGGGTCAAAGGTACAATAATGGTGCGAAAGTGACAGGAAAATTAAAGGTGTTCAAACCCGAATTTGATTCAATATTCTCGGGCATTTTTCAATTCATGTGGTTGAAGTTATTAGAACTTAATTTTGCTTATATTCGCGTAATAAAATAAAATGATGTGTCCTACCCAGTCTAAAGAGCACCTCCTAACCCCCTCAATTGTATGCATTATCCCCGTAGCCGCCATTCCCAGTACCACCACACTAGGGACGACACACCACTCTCAATAATAAGAAACACGTAGTTTCATCTCTACACGAGGCATCCACAGGTGAAATAACCTCTGCGGTGTCTGAAGGTTAAGTGAACGACAAGCCGAAATAGTTGATATTTATACAACTCGCTGTTCAAAGATTTATATAAATAGGAGCGTGTGGAGAGCGGAGAGAGTGCTAGAAGGGTTTGTGATGGGATTAGTGTTGATGAAGATAGTGGCAGCCTATGACCTAAAACACATGTATTATCAAGGGCGGTGTGTCGTGCTGAAAGTGGTGATGAAGGGTATAGTGCACGCAACTGAGTGAGGATGGGAGATGGATGCTCTTTGACTGGGCAGGACACATCATTGTATTTTATAACGTGGAACTAAGCAAATTAAGTTCTAAAAACTTCAATATAATGGATTTCCGTAAAGTAAAACCTGATTCTTTTAACTTTCGAAAAAGTTAAGTATTTGAGCGTAACAATCAAACAAAACTAAAGTGGAATTATATATTGTTTTATATACGTGCAGTCGTATGGTTGGGAACATTTGGGGCTTGCGTCTCAGTATAATCCAATGGCTGTACAGCAGCATAGTGAGGCCAATTATCACCTACGCCTCCATTATCTGGTGTAATAAGGCCAACCAAAAGACGACTGCGGACAGACTAAATAGTCTACAAAGAACTGCTTGCTTAATGGCAACTGGAGCGATGCGATCATTGCCTGGAGCACCTCTTAATGCACTTCTGTGCCTAACGCTCCTTGATCTTTATTTAGACCAGGAGGCGAAGGCTAGTTTGTATAGAATTAACGCCCCGGACTCAACTCAAATAAGGAAACACGGGTCTTATCCGTGATCTCAGATATCATGCGTTCACTATACACTTTTAATAAAAGGTATATAGTAGAACTACCCTCCAGAGAAAACTGGCTGAATGGACAGGTTATCTGTGAGTTAGGTTACCTTATATGGTACACCGATGGGTTAAAAATGGGTCTCGACATTGGCTTCGGAATTTATGGTGAATGCCCCAAATTCAAACATAGTATGAATTATTCCTTCAGTGTGCGTCTGCATAAACACTACGTCAATCTTATAATTTATTTAAAGTCTGATAGTCAAGCAGCACTGCTAGCGCTGAGAGCAAACTTAGTGAACTTGAAGCTAGTTGGAAACTGCGTGAACCGTCTAAACGCCTTGGGATGTCATAACAGGTTCTGTGCCAAGCGGGTATTGTAGGCAATAAACTTGCCGATAAGCACGCACGGGAGTGCATAAATAGCACACAATTTGAAACCGATCCATTTTGTGGAATCTCAAAAAGCATAGCCTGATTGACCCTTAAAACACAACAAATCACTTAAGATCAGGTCTGATACACCAGGCTTAAAACATTTTAAAATATTAATCCGTACTTTTGATCGAAAATTTGCTTCAGAAGCCCTGGGATTCGGTACAAATAAACTGCGCATTCTGGCAAGAGCCCTGACTGGACACTGTTGTCTTTAAAAGCACATGGCTATCCTGGGCCTAAGCAACTCAAGGATGTGCCGGTTTTGTTCCTCAATGGAAAAAAACTCACTATACACATTCTGACTGATTGTGGACCATTAATGAGCAAACGTAGCACATCTGGGACACTATCTACTTGGCCTAGAAGAAGTGAAATTGCTCACATAATTTTATTCATTTATACAGTATATATTTCTGCTATAATAATAAATATACTATTCATTGCTAGAGAGAAACTTTGATAGGAAATCTTTTGGTTTTGGTTCTTTCGTTGATTTAAAGCATGCCATAATATGTTCTTTTCGTTTTCACAAGTATACTGCTTATTTAAGTTCCATTTGACCCTTAATGACTAGGATATCAACAACCCGGATATCAGTAACTTGTTTGTTATTTTGAAACATTTCTTTGAGTCTAGCTCGACATTGTTCTTCAGATTTTGGTATGTCAAAACCTTTCACTAAGAAAGGAATTTGACGGTAGCATGCTTTGTAAGATTTAATACTCGTGCTCTAGCTTCTCCAGCGTTAAGAGAAAGTACCGGTCTCACATTTTTTGTACCAACTTTGTTTTGAAGAAAAAAATTGCTTTTGGATTTCGTTAAACTAAGCAACTCCTATTGTTTGAAATTATAGGGCTTAGCAGTGAACTATAACCATAGCAGCGATCACAATAGATCTTTTAGGTTGCAGTGATACTGGTCTTTCTAGATCTGCGTAGCTACTCGCACAAAAAAAAGCTAAGCGGTCTGAATCGAAAATATGCAGTATGGATTTACCAAAGGTGTCGTATTATTTGAAGAATTTTGAAACAGTACTGAGCCTTTTCATCTGCGCTAATAACAAATAGATTAAATTTTTAAGCCAGCCCGATCCCGAAGAAAGATTATTTGTTTAGACGCCGTAGGTGAGACACCAACTGATCCTAAAGAATTGTTTAAAATGAACGTTTTTTACCCTGTGATTGATACAATTAAAAGTGCATTGGTTACTTGACTTAAACTGTCAAAACTATGATGCGTCTTCATTTTTATACATAATTAAAATAATTCCTGAAAGTTCAAAAACCCTTTATACATTTGCAAATGGCATAATGGGATTTGTCTAGTTGTAAATTGGTTCAGCAACTTATGAGCTTGAACCCATTATTTAAAGATCTTCAAACAGTGATCACATAGAGTTCTTAGACTATGGTTAAATTACTCCGAATTCATAAAAAAATTGCAAGTGCATAACCCAGAAAGCTGGCTTCACTGCAAAATATTGTTAAAGTAAGATATACAACACGAGGTAAATAAATTCTTCAATGGAAATAAGAAATAAATGGACCAAAAATCAAGCCCTAAGGGACATCCATTAACAGTGCTATCGTAACTTAATACAAATACTATGTTTAATAACTAACCCGTGTAAGAGAAAGAGGTGACGTGGAACCAATGAAAGAGCACGGAGAGAAGTCTGCCGAGGATTTCATCTGGAGTATCAGGGTTCGGGGTACACAGCCCAACCAACAGCCAAACTCCGTACCTTAGTTAAGAAGTGAAATAAATAATTTATCAAATATAAGACAATTAAATAGAAATAACTAATGATTTCTTAAATTTACGCGAACACTACACATTGAATAAAACTAAATTTACGGATTCTATCGCGTTTATTTAACTGATTTTACTTATTTTTAATTCCCGACGTTTCGGGTGCTTTACAGCAACCATGGTCACCCGCGTGAAAGAACATATAGCTGACGTGAAGCACCGACGCTCCGGGAAGTCTGCAGTCTGTGAACATGTTCAAGATCGTCCCCACCATTACATCAGATTTGATAAACCACAAATCCTCGCAAAAGAACACCGATTCCTACCAAGGATGATACGCGAGGCTATTGAAATTAAAAAACATCCTAATTTCAATAGAGAAGATGGTTGGGTGCTGCCATCTGCTTGGGATCCTATAATTAACAAAATTAAACCCAAACTCAAGCATACCACTGCAAGACTTCAAGATACTGTAAGTTCATTTTGCGTAAATCGGACCAAAAATTAATATTCAAAAACTGAAGGTAGCCGGGCTAACAATGACATTGGGACGTCAAATATATTAGTCCCCCCGTGACCATGGTTGCTGTAAAGCACCCGAAACGTCGGGAATTAAAAATAAGTAAAAGTAGTCAATTAAATGCGATAAAATCCGTAAGTTTAGTTTTATTCAAAGAAATAACTAATGTAAATTATAAATATTTATTAATTGAAAGTTTTAGGTATATTTTACGAACGACAGCCTCATACAGTAAGTGTTGGGACGACCTCTCATTATCTCAATGGATGCAGGTAGCTCAGGGCCATTATTAGTTTATTAACGGCACACAGGACACACAGTGTCTTCATAAATAACAATTAATTAATATTTATATTCACCGGCCCAGCAGCTGACGGTCTTCAATGGAAATAGGATCAGGAAGATTCACGGAGAGCGGTGGCTTTAGTTGCTCAGTAGAACTATCCGGATCTTCCATGTTGATAGGTTTCGCTTCTTTCAGAAGACTAAAAAAAAGAAAAAAAAAGCAATTAGAATCGAACTCTAGATAAATTGAAACAAAACTTTATAAGTCAGATCTTTTTGTGTGATGTTTCACAGATTTTTCTCTCCAAATGCTCTTTTTTTCAGCGTGGACTCGTCTTTATACAATTTCCATTTCATGAGATTTCATCTCCAAACAATCGTTATAAAAAAATCTTAACAAAATTAAAATTATATCTCTCGTTCGATCTTGAAATTTGTTTTTGTATAATATTTATTAATCATAGTTTGCATTTGTAATATTTTCGTATCAAGCAACTCTTTATGGATGAAAGGATAATGAATAAAGACGTTATTCATTTTCTTTATTTATAATTTTTTAATTTTAAATTAAATTAATAATTAATATTTAAAAAAATATAATTTTTTTATTTATATATTTATTAATATATGCATCAACGCAAAATCTTCACACCTTTGCATATTAAAGTTATCCCTATTCTCTCCTCCAATCGTAATATTTCGATACAAAGACTTTATCGGTCCTAATAAGTCCAACACTTTTTAATATGGGCTATGCGACACAGCTCGCTCACATACCAAGCAATATTGAAAAAATTCCAAAATTCAGTAACGAAGACCATTTACCATCAATATTGATTTACCTTTGCCATCGTCCTGATGATCGCATTGACGAGGTTGAAACAGTGTGGTGAGAGTGACCGTGAGGTTAGACTTGAGGAAGTTGGTCTGCATGTTGTTAGGTGCAGTGATGTAGTTAAGGTGGCTGTGAGGTTAGACCTGAGGATTGCGTCGACGAGGTTGGTCTGCATGTCGCTTTGTGCAGTGGTGTAATGAAGGTGGCTGAGGTTAGACCTGAGGATCGCGTCGACGAGGTTGGTCTGCATGTCGCTTTGTGCAGTGGTGTAGTGAAGGTGGCTGTGAGGTTAGACCTGAGGATCGCGTCGACGAGGTTGGTCTGCATGTCGCTTTGTGCGGTGGTGTAGTGAAGGCGGCTGTGAGGTTAGACCTGAGGATCGCGTCGATGAGGTTGGTCTGCATGTCGCTTTGTGCAGTGGTGTAGTGAAGGTGGCTGTGAGGTTAGACCTGAGGATCGCGTCGATGAGGTTGGTCTGCATGTCGCTTTGTGCAGTGGTGTAGTGAAGGTGGCTGTGAGGTTAGACCTGAGGGTCGCGTCGACGAGGTTGGTCTGCATGTCGCTTTGTGCAATGGTGTAGTGAAGGTGGCTGTGAGGTTAGACCTGAGGATCGCGTCGACGAGGTTGGTCTGCATGTCGCTTTGTGCAGTGGTGTAGTGAAGGTGGCTGTGAGGTTAGACCTGAGGGTCGCGTCGATGAGGTTGGTCTGCATGTCGCTTTGTGCAGTGGTGTAGTTAAGGTGGCTGTGAGGTTAGACCTGAGGATCGCGTCGATGAGGTTGGTCTGCATGTCGCTTTGTGCAGTGGTGTAGTGAAGGTGGCTGTGAGGTTAGACCTGAGGATCGCGTCGACGAGGTTGGTCTGCATGTCGCTTTGTGCAGTGGTGTAGTGAAGGTGGCTGTGAGGTTAGACCTGAGGATCGCGTCGACGAGGTTGGTCTGCATGTCGCTTTGTGCAGTGGTGTAGTGAAGGTGGCTGTGAGGTTAGACCTGAGGATCGCGTCGATGAGGTTGGTCTGCATGTCGCTTTGTGCAGTGGTGTAGTGAAGGTGGCTGTGAGGTTAGACCTGAGGATCGCGTCGACGAGGTTGGTCTGCATGTCGCTTTGTGCGGTGGTGTAGTGAAGGTGGCTGTGAGGTTAGACATGAGGATCGCGTCGACGAGGTTGGTCTGCATGTCGCTTTGTGCAATGGTGTAGTGAAGGTGGCTGTGAGGTTAGACCTGAGGATCGCGTCGACGAGGTTGGTCTGCATGTCGCTTTGTGCAGTGGTGTAGTGAAGGTGGCTGTGAGGTTAGACCTGAGGGTCGCGTCGACGAGGTTGGTCTGCATGTCGCTTTGTGCAGTGGTGTAGTGAAGGTGGCTGTGAGGTTAGACCTGAGGATCGCGTCTACGAGGGTGGGCTGCATGTCGCTTTGTGCAGTGGTGTAGTGAAGGTGGCTGTGAGGTTAGACCTGAGGATCGCGTCGATGAGGTTGGTCTGCATGTCGCTTTGTGCAGTGGTGTAGTGAAGGTGGCTGTGAGGTTAGACCTGAGGGTCGCGTCGACGAGGTTGGTCTGCATGTCGCTTTGTGCAGTGGTGTAGTGAAGGTGGCTGTGAGGTTAGACCTGAGGGTCGCGTCGAGGAGGTTGGTCTGCATGTCGCTTTGTGCAGTGGTGTAGTGAAGGTGGCTGTGAGGTTAGACCCGAAGATTGCATCGACGAGGTTGGTCTGCATTTCACTTTGTGCAGTGGTGTAGTGAAGGTGGCTGTGAGGTTAGACCTGAGGATTGAATCGACGAGGTTGGTCTGCATGTCGCTTTGTGCAGTGGTGTAGTGAAGGTGGCTGTGAGGTTAGACCTGAGGGTCGCGTCGACGAGGTTGGTCTGCATGTCGCTTTGTGCAGTGGTGTAGTGAAGGTGGCTGTGAGGTTAGACATGAGGATCGCGTCGACGAGGTTGGTCTGCATGTCGCTTTGTGCAGTGGTGTAGTGAAGTTGGCTGTGAGGTTAGACCTGAGGGTCGCGTCGACGAGGTTGGTCTGCATGTCGCTTTGTGCAGTGGTGTAGTGAAGGTGGCTGTGAGGTTAGACCTGAGGATCGCGTCGACGAGGTTGGTCTGCATGTCGCTTTGTGCAGTGGTGTAGTGAAGGTGGCTGTGAGGTTAGACCTGAGGATCGCGTCGACGAGGTTGGTCTGCATGTCGCTTTGTGCAGTGGTGTAGTGAAGGTGGCTGTGAGGTTAGACCTGAGGATCGCGTCGACGAGGTTGGTCTGCATGTCGCTTTGTGCAATGGTGTAGTGAAGGTGGCTGTGAGGTTAGACCTGAGGGTCGCGTCGACGAGGTTGGTCTGCATGTCGCTTTGTGCAGTGGTGTAGTGAAGGTGGCTGTGAGGTTAGACCTGAGGATCGCGTCGACGAGGTTGGTCTGCATGTCGCTTTGTGCATTGGTGTAGTGAAGGTGGCTGTGAGGTTAGACCTGAGGGTCGCGTCGATGAGGTTGGTCTGCATGTCGCTTTGTGCAGTGGTGTAGTGAAGGTGGCTGTGAGGTTAGACCTGAGGATTGCGTCGACGAGGTTGGTCTGCATGTCGCTTTGTGCAGTGGTGTAGTGAAGGTGGCTGTGTGGTTATACCTGAGGATTAAATCGACGAGGTTGGTCTGCATGTCGCTTTGTGCAGTGGTGTAGTGAAGGTGGCTGTGAGGTTAGACCTGAGGATCGCGTCGATGAGGTTGGTCTGCATGTCGCTTTGTGCAGTGGTGTAGTGAAGGTGGCTGTGAGGTTAGACCTGAGGGTCGCGTTGATGAGGTTGGTCTGCATGTCGCTTTGTGAAGTGCTGTAGTGAATGTGGCTGTGAGGTTAGACCTGAGGGTCGCGTCGACGAGGTTGGTCTGCATGTCGCTTTGTGCAGTGGTGTAGTGAAGGTGGCTGTGAGGTTAGACCTGAGGATCGCGTCGACGAGGTTGGTCTGCATGTCGCTTTGTGCAGTGGTGTAGTGAAGGTGGCTGTGAGGTTAGACCTGAGGATCGCGTCGACGAGGTTGGTCTGCATGTCGCTTTGTGCAGTGGTGTAGTGAAGGTGGCTGTGAGGTTAGACCTGAGGGTCGCGTCGATGAGGTTGGTCTGCATGTCGCTTTGTGCATTGGTGTAGTGAAGGTGGCTGTGAGGTTAGACCTGAGGGTCGCGTCGATGAGGTTGGTCTGCATGTCGCTTTGTGCAGTGGTGTAGTGAAGGTGGCTGTGAGGTTAGACATGAGGATTGCGTCGACGAGGTTGGTCTGCATGTCGCTTTGTGCAATGGTGTAGTGAAGGTGGCTGTGAGGTTAGACATGAGGATTGAGTCGACGAGGTTGGTCTGCATGTCGCTTTGTGCAGTGGTGTAGTGAAGGTGGCTGTGAGGTTAGACCTGAGGATTGCGTCGACGAGGTTGGTCTGCATGTCGCTTTGTGCAGTGGTGTAGTGAAGGTGGCTGTGAGGTTAGACATGAGGATTGCATCGACGAGGTTGGTCTGCATGTCGCTTTGTGCAATGGTGTAGTGAAGGTGGGTAGGTTAGACATGAGGATTGAGTCGACGAGGTCGGTCTACATGTCGCTTTGTGCAGTGGTGTAGTGAAGGTGGCTGTGAGGTTAGACCTGAGGATCGCGTCGATGAGGTTGGTCTGCATGTTGCTTTGTGCAATAGTGTAGTGAAGATGGCTGTGAGGTTAGACCTGAGGATCGCGTCGATGAGGTTGGTCTGCATGTCGCTTTGTGCAGTGGTGTAGTGAAGGTGGCTGTGAGGTTAGACATGAGGATCGCGTCGACGAGGTTGGTCTGCATGTCGCTTTGTGCAGTGGTGTAGTGAAGGTGGTGGGGTTAGACCTGAGGATCGCGTCGACGAGGTTGGTCTGCATGTCGCTTTGTGCAGTGGTGTAGTGAAGGTGGCTGTGAGGTTAGACCTGAGGGTCGCGTCGATGAGGTTGGTCTACATGTCGCTTTGTGCAGTGGTGTAGTGAAGGTGGCTGTGAGGTTAGACCTGAGGATTGCGTCGACGAGGTTGGTCTGCATGTCGCTTTGTGCAGTGGTGTAGTGAAGGTGGCTGGAGGTTACATGAGGATCGCGTCGACGAGGTTGGTCTGCATGTCGCTTTGTGCGGTGGTGTAGTGAAGGCGGCTGTGAGGTTAGACCTGAGGATTGAATCGACGAGGTTGGTCTGCATGTCGCTTTGTGCAGTGGTGTAGTGAAGGTGGCTGTGAGGTTAGACCTGAGGATCGCGTCGACAAGGTTGGTCTACATGTCGCTTTGTGCAGTGGTGTAGTGAAGGTGGCTGTGAGGTTATACCTGAGGATTGCGTCGACGAGGTTGGTTTGCATGTCGCTGTCCATGTGCCAGGCGGGCGGCAGGCGCGAATGCAGCACGTGGTCGCCGCCGCGTCGGCTGTTGTGGCGGTTGCCGTGGCACTGCTGGCAGTACCTGCCACCAAACTCTCAGTTTAACACTGCTACACTTGCCCTACCTGGGCATCAATCCCGGCCGAAGCCATTTATGTAAATGACACTGGTTTGCGATTTGAATGCATAGTGCTTGTGTAGCATCTATTACATTTAATTGAATCCTAACATCAGGGTTATCATTGTGTAACTATAAAAATAAAGTTACAACCTGTATACATCCCATAGCATCCCATAGCTAAGCACAAGTCTCTGCGTGTTGGCACGCACGGTTTTTAAGTATTTATAAGCTTCTCAGATATGAAGGTTAGTAGACAATTTTCTTTCTCCGACAAGCACGTAGTAAGTCAGCTCTTAAATTGCAATTAGCGATTTTATTGGTGCATACGAGTATGAACATCGAACCCGGGAAATTTACGGCTCGTGATTAGCCCCTGGACTACCACAGCTCCTACAGAACTTCTACCTAGCAAAGTTGTAATTTTAAAACTGCGCTAGAAATTGGCGCAGTACGTGTATCGCTAAGGGCTGTTGTTGGAATCTCGCACGGAACAAGTATTTGTACTGCCTACAAGTCTTTTTTTACCGTTAATCCCTAGTATGAAAGTAATGTTTCTTAATGGGAGTTTCTCCTGTATCGTGGGAGCGATATAGATAAGTACATTCAACAAGGACATACATCTAGACTCGTGTGCTCGACAGTTAAGAGTATTTTTAATATAGCCCCTTTTTAATATATAAGCAATTTGGTCGATAAACTTAGGTATATCGAAGGCGTCGCTCGCCGACTCTGCCGCTCACTACTGTAGCATGTTAATTTTCTTTGTCACTCTTGCCTCATTTATTCTTTCTATTTTCTAAACCACTAAAGCGTTTCCTTCTTAATCCTGATCATCTTTACATGTGTCGCAGTATTAACAACCGTAAGGCACTCTAAAATGCTAATCTTGGAAAACCTAACACAACATTTATTTGGGTTGGTGAAAATTATCTTTTCTTTTGATGGTAAGTGGATGCTGTGGCCCATAGACATCCACATTTATCCTCGATTAAGAATCAAAACGTAAATGCGTTGTCACCCCTGAGGACTACTGTGGAATGCCTCGTTTCCAGTAAAAAGGGTCTCCGGATCTCTACACTCACCATACGAAGTGCGGTATTAAGCTGCTGTTTTACGCTCGTATTCTGTGAGAGCGTGGTCCTTCCCCGGTCGAGCCGACCCGTTCGTGCTCCAACCATAATATAGCTGCAGCGTGGCTCTACCACCTATAAAATGTCTACTCTCTGATTTTATAATATGACGGATCTGTAACGCATTGCCTAAGCGTTTGCTTGTGTACCGAAGGTTCGATCTCGCAAGAAATAACTATTTTATGGGCTACAAACAGTTGTCCCAAGCCTGGGCTTGTTTGTTTTGTTTTGTTAATTGTTTGTGGAAAGGGGTGGATCACACGAATTGCATTGGGTATACATCCAGATGTATACCCATATGCCATTTATATACTACTTCACAATGAAGAAGAACTTCCTTGTTTGAGGGTAGTTAAAAAAGGACTCAAAGAACAATGATTACCTGATGGGGTGATTGCCATTATAGCTGGCGCATTCGTTTGAAAAACAAATAGAGTATGCTGATTTCTCCGTGGAGCGGCAATTCTGAAAATAATTTAATGTATGAAGTAATTAGTTTTACTACAAACAGAAAAACTCTCTAGTAATTGGTTAAATTACTAACCTTATTCTCGCAAACCATCGAAACTTGCTGCTGGGGGTGTAAGATGTCAAAGAAGCGCTGGTTAGGGTGTTCCCTAAAATACATTTCAATTTCATTAATTGTTTGATTTAATGGTCAAACTAAACCAAAAACAGCTGCAATTTAAACTAAGCTTTTAAAAAGAAACAAATTCTAATTCTCAATAATAATAAGAGCTTTCCTGTCACTTTACTTTTGATATTAAAAACTATTTTACGCTAGTCTTCTGTTAGAACGTGGTCTTTCTCTGGTCAAGTCGACCCAATCATGATGTAGCAATATAGCTGCAGCATAGCTCTACCACGCATATATAGCGTACGATATGTATGTTCACAATGTCGAAACAAACCCGTGTCTAAAGCATCACGCTCGCATCTCTAGCTATTTGCTAGAAATAATGTACTCGTATGTATAAAACTAACATAAAATAGTCGTCTTCGGCTATTAAAAGAACAAATAACATTATTTATACAAACATTCGAGCTAGTAGCTACCGCATATATATCCGCATATATATATCTACAGCATAGCTCTTCCTCGATTAAGAATCAAAATACATATATGTTTTTACCACTAAATACTCACAACCCATGTTTCATTAATGTTTCATTATGCTTTCGCCGGTGTTGTGTGAGAGCGTAGTCCTTCCTGGGTCGAGCCGACCCTTTCGCGCTATAACCAAAATACATCCGCAGCGTGGCTCTACCACGTATATACGAGTACAGCCAGATGTCGGTTATTTCAGATGCAAATAACATTTTTAGAAATAATAAATTCAGTAAGTTACCTAATTAGGAACACTAGAGTCCCATTTATAACAATCCAAAAATAATTCCTTATCATAACTGTATAAACACTTACACGTCCCTGTAACGAACAACGGGGTTTGTTATATACTGTATATGCGTCACCTGTGTATCTCGTTGGCGCACTCGATGCAAAGATAGAGCGGCGGCGGCGTGTCGGAGGCGAAGGTGACGCTGATGCAGTGGTCGTAGCAAACCTTCGCGGCCTCCGCGCTGCCTGCATTGGGGCACATGTCGCGCTGGCACAGGAAAGGCACCAGGTCGTCTGTGCACACGCACCGCACGTACTAAGCCTACTTACTATATATATTACACGCCTCGTTTGTCTAGTGCTCGTAAACGCAGTTGCTAATCATGAGGCTCTGGGTTCAAATCCCGAGCCGAACCAAAACCTGGGTTTTTATGCCAATAAAATTCTCAGCACGGAGCCAGGAGTTGGCGGTTTTACCCCTGTGCCTAGAAAAGCTCGTAAAGCCGTTGGTCTCTCTCTCCGGTCGTATCGGACTACTGTCCCATCGGGTTATGAGAGTGAAGGAGTAGAGTGTACATGTGCTTTCGCATACACTCGGGCACTATAATCATGCCATGGCTAGTTTCCGTTAAGGCTGACTGCTGTGACTAAATTCGGTCTGGAGAATATTATTATACCGGTGCCTTCCACCTAGAATATTGTCGTGTAACCAGTTTTACTTTTGTGTGTCAAATTTCTCATGACTTTCGATACACGGCACTTTAACCATCTCATTTACAACACCTTAAATACCTAAACTGGCATATACAAAAATTGAGAGACCAAAATTATTATTTTTTTATTTCGTTCAGCTTTTCTAAATAACTTTTGCAATTAAAATTATGAAATGATTGTGATGAACTCAAATAAATCAGTCTAGGGCTCAGAGCAGTGAAATTCTCATAAAGTATCATCAATACACATCATCATAAGGAAAATGTAAGTGTTAAGGTTTCTTTCTGTAGTATTATCTTAGATTTCATATTAATTATATAAGACATTAATAAACCAATTAAAAGTAGTTAAAATGTGCAAAAAATTAAAGAGAAAAGCATTGATGTATTATTTTGTGTATTAAATATAATAGCTCTAGAAACTTTTATTACAACTTACAAATCAATTAAATGATATTGTGTAACAAAACAACTTCAATATAGCTCGTATTGAAGAAGCGATCGAGCTGAACAGGGCTCCGAAGTCTTTGCCAGATATATGTCTGCCAAAAAGAGCCAACTGTCGAAGCTGAATAGCGAGTGAGCTTTTAAGTGCGATTGAGAGGTTCTATACTAAGAGTGCTACGCGTCACCGTTGGAACCATACGCAAGTGTGAGTAACGATGCAAAAGCAAGTCTTATCCGACACTATTCCGATGATATCCGTATGCCAGTCTGAGCGAGATTAGCATGGCTCTCCAGCAACTTAAAAACGGCAGGGCCCCAGGCGAGGATGGAATTACAGCGGAGCTTTTGAAAGCGGGTGGAACACCGGTACTTGAAGTCCTTCGGAAGCTCTTCAATTCCGTCCTCCATGGAGGCACTACTTCCGAGGCGTGGAGCAGAAGTGCGGTGGTCTTGTTCTTCAAGAAAGGTGACAACGCTCTCTTGAAGAACTACAGACCGATATCCCTTCTGAGCCGCGTCTACGTGCTGTTTTCGAGAGTCATTACGAATCGTCTCGCATGCGATTTGACGACTTCCAGCCTCTTGAACAAGCTTGTTTTCGAAAAGGCTTTACTACCATAGACCACATTACATACCCTTCGGCAAATTGTACAGAAGACCGTCTTCAGTCTTCTGTACAATTTGCAATCAAAGACTTTCTTATAGTCCACATACACGAGGCAAAAAGGCAGATTGTAAAGACAATCAAGTACAATATGCGTATGTGGACCATGAGAAAGCCTTTGATTCCGTCGAAATTTGGGCGGTGCTACAGTCCCTCCAGCGGTGCCAAGTTGACTATCGATATATCGGGGTCGTGGTCCTTCACTGATGGCCGTACGAGGACGCACAAGGTCGCACAGTGAGCTACGGAGAGGGGTATGCTCAGGGTTTCTCTGCATGATATACTCAGAAATCAGCATATCCGCAGTAACACCAGAGTGACCGATATAGCCCAACGGATTAGTAAGCTGACGTGGTAATGGGCCGGCCATATAGCTCGAAGAACCGATAACTGATGGGGAAGAAAGGTTCTCGAGTGGCAGGCTCGTACCGGTAGGCGTAGTATAAGGCGACCCCCCACTAGATGGAGTAACGACCAGGTAAGACATGCAGGAGGTCGATGGATGCAGGTGGCTCAGGACCGTGCTTTGTGGCATTACTTGGGGGAGGCCTATGTTCAGCAGTGGACTTGTGAAGGGCTGTAATGATGATGATGATGATGAATGATGTGTAACAAAAGCTTCACCTTAGTTACAACTAACGACATTTGGTGAGCGGAACATTATTAGCTTTCATCGGGCCATCATTATATTTCTCTGCAAAGTTTTCAATTAAGAACTAAGAGTAGAAAATGGCAAGGCAAAAAAGGGATTGGATCACGAAGTAATTCCTTAAGTTTCGTTTTGCTAATTTTACAACGAACCGATAATAATAGCTGTGTACTTACTGGAGAACTTGCAAAGTAGGCCCTTGCGGTCAAAGAGTTTGGCGTCGAAGGGCGGCCAGTAGTAGAAGAGCAACTTGGCTGCAGACAGTCGGGCTCCCCAAGTGCCGTGCGCGATCACGCACAAAACATCTCGAACCGTTTGCTGCTTCATGGACATCAGGCACTCAAGCAGCTGGCAGTGGTGCGCTGGGAATAGTAACAACATGGATTCCGCTACCGTTACTTACACGTACACTTCCCCATTGATTATTTTCATTATCATTACGATTACAGTCTATCAAGATTTCACTGTTGAGCTATCTATGGGGGAGGCCCATGCCTTCCCCATAGATTACATCATTAAGAGTTACGTGCCACAGTTGCCACGCTTGGAAGCGTGGTTGGCAACCGCAGTTTGGTACTTTTATTCCGATGTTATGTATGGTTTCCTGCAGTCCATGAATGATTTAGTTTCCCTCTGTCGCTTCTTACGACACCCATAGGATGATATTGGGTAGTGGATATTCTTTCACCGCCACTACACAGGTACCAAACCACTTCATACGTGGTAGAGCGACGCTGCAGCTATATTATGATTGTAGCATGAATGAGTCGGCTCGATCGGGGATGGACCACGCTCTCACAGAATACCAGCGTAAATTTGCAGCTTAATGCTGCTGTGTTTTGTATGGTGAGTGTAGACAACCGGAGACCCGTTTTACTGAAATCAAGGTATTCCATCTTAGTTCTCAAGGGTGACAATGCATCTGCATTTTGATTCTTAATCGAGGGTAAATGTAGATGTCTATGGGCCACAGCATTCACTTATCATCAGGTGGACTGTGTGCTCGTTTGTCATCCTTACCCTATAAAAAAAAACACTGTATTACGTTATAGATTACCTCATAGAGGTATTTTTTACAGTTGCCACGCTTGGCAAGCAGGTTGGCAACCGCACTTATTATTTTTTAATTGTTATTAGGAAGATATTGCTGCCTATCTCCTGGTTTAGACGGTATGGTGTAGTGGATATTCTTAAACCGCCATTATACTCTTGCATTCCATTATAAATTTTTTTTTATTTTATTGAATAAGGCAAATGGAATAACACAGACAGTAGTTATATAAAGTTGTAAAATTAAAAGTACATTGGCGTTGTTCTAAACTACAATCCAATCCAGTAGAAACTTAGCAAAAATAAACTTGATAAAAATACATAAATATTAAGAGAAACACAGAAATGTCTTTTAAGTCTGACAAGGGTACTATCAAATATATCTAGATGTATTGAATAAAAATATATTTACGAATTTTATCGCGTTTAATTAACTACTTTAACTTATTTTCAATTCCCGACGTATCGGGTGCTTTACAGCACCCGTAGTCACGGAGGGGACTGAGATATTTGACGTCCCAATGTCATAGTTAGCCCGGCTACCTTCAGTTTTTTATATTAATTTTCGCGAAAACAACCCTTGACCATGGGTGCTGTAAAGCGCCCGATACGTCGGGAATTAGAAATAAGTTAAAGTAGTTAAATAAACGCGACAAAATTCGTAAATATAGTTTTTATTCAATGTGTAGTGTTCGCGTAAATTTAAGAAATCATGTACGTTACTACGCTTAATCTCGTCATAATCACGGCACATTTTTACAACAGGGTTGAAAAAGGAAGTGTTATTCTTGTGTACGTCTAACCTTAAAATTCTTTGAATACATTGTGGTATACCAGAATTAAAGTCAATTAGTCTGAGTAACTCTGGGCAATCGATACGAGAATGCAAAATCTTGTCCAAAAATAGTTGGTCGGTAAATTTTCTCCTCCAAGATAATCGTTGGACATTAAAAAACTTTAATCGAGAGTCGCATGATGGTAGACGAAGCAAGTGACCATATCTGCCACAAACATTGCGAAGGAAACAACTGTGCACCCTCTCGATGCTATGATGTATGTCAGAATGTACCATATACAGGTTGACCATAGAGTGAAAGCATACGCTAGTACAGAACGAACCAAATTGTTAAATAATCAAAATAATGTGAAAGATTTGGAGATATTTTTTGTTACACGAATTATAAACCCTAAGGTTCTGAAACTTTTTTGCGTTATATACTCACAATGCGGACGGAACGAAAATTTTGAATCGAAATATACGCCCAAGTCCTTGACAATCTTTTTGTGTGTCAAAGGCTGACTATTGATATTATATTTAGAATCCAGGTAATTGTGTTTAGTAGTGATAACTAAACACTTAAGATTTATAAGGGATCTTACTTATACCTTTATAAGGCATTCCGAGTAAACAGAATACCATCGAAAATTTTCAAAGCTTGGTGTGATTTTGAGATGGAACGAAGATTCTAAAAGTGAAGCATTTGAAACAAATTTTCACGCTGCAGCTATATTATGATTGTAGCACGAATGGAGCGGCACGACCGGGGAAGGACCACGCTCTCACAGAATACCAGCGTAAAAAAGCAGGTCAGTGCTGCTGTGTTTCGTATAGTGAGTATAGAGAACCAGAGACCCTTTTACTGGAAACGAGGCATTCCATCTTAGTCCCCAAGGGTGACAACGTATCTGCATTTTGATTCTTAATCGAGAATTGATGTAGATATCTATGGGTCACAGCGTACACTTACCATCAGGTGGACTGTGTGCTCGTTTGTCACCTTTATTCTTTTTTTAAAATCTTTTGAATTTCATCAACAATAACATTAATAGTGCGATATCATTGGTTTTCATATTCAGCAAAATAACTAAATACGGATTACGATTTATTTACATAACAGATTTTTCAAAAATGTAAATGCGCCATTTCACTAAACCGAGCTCTTGACTCTTTCTAATACTTTTCTTTATTTATTCCCACTGAATAAATTCATCCTCTATCATTGTATATGGATAAACTCGGATAAGAATATGGCTACGGATTGGGGCTCTCTTCGTGTCCTTATCTTTCGAGTTCGTGTCATATACTCTATGCTGGATATACATATACATATGACAGTCTGCTGAAGCTTGCATCGAAATAAAATAAGATGAAAATGACCTGTTTTTTTCTCACTTCATATGTTTTCTATTGATCGAAAATTATTGTGCTTGATATTTCTTTGTATATTATAAATGATACTTAGCAAGTAGGTTACCAACCATAAATTATTTTTAATTATCTTTAGGCCTATATTCGCACGTAAACCATAACATTACATTAAATAATACCATTATTGATGGCGAATTTTACCTGGATTATTGGAGTGCTGGAACACCATCATGAGAATGGCCCCAACGGATTGCGATGCTTCGCTTTCTTCTTCAAGTCCAGAATATCTACGTGCTAGAACGAACAAATAAAAATTATAACATTCTTAATACTAATGTCGAAAACTGTAATTAGTTTGCTAAGATTCACAAGCAAATAAATAATCATAGTTAAAGTAAAAATAAAGCGTGTACCGTACTGCTTTCTAAGAGAGTTATTGAGTGCTTCTAGAGCAGCGAGTTGTCGACCTCAATGCTTTAGTAAGTGTTGACGGACCTCACATGTCCTCGAAATATTATTCCGCAGACGTAAAGTTTTCCTCACGATAATTTTCTTCATTGCCGAAAACCAATGTTTTTATTGGTGTCTACGGGGTTCGAATCCAGATTTCTCGCTTACTACAAAATTTACGGCAATCGCTTAGCTATTGAGCTATCAGACTTTGTATAAAAAATTACGCCTCATTTTGAGACAAAGCGTGTATAATTGTGGCGATGAAGGTGTGGAATAGTAGGTCGTGATTGCTGGAAGATAGGGTGTTAACAAACAATTTTCTTAATTAACACAAATTTTATCGTGATAAAATCAGTGTAAATAGATTTCAATGTGCAGTATTCGATTAAGGCCCGATTTATCAATCCTCACATAAATGTTTTTTGTAGGATAAAATACAACATATTTGAAAATTGCGGTTTTATAAATAAAATAGTGTTTTGCTTCATTTTTATTCAGTCGGGTTATAATTTATTAGATGGATAACTTTCTCTCCTAAATCTGACGATTGAAAAACCAGCCCTAAATGTAAAAAAATCATTACTTGGATCCTAATCTTAGCTAATTAACTTATTTATTATCATTAATATATTGTTACGAGCTTGAGGTTAGTGACAATAAAAGTTGCCGATAGAATTACCTAAATTAACACTTTAATTTTCTTTACACCAATTAAAACTTAAAACACTAAAAATTAATCATACTGATTCACTTTATTCCGCTCCGAAGCTTCGCTTGCCTCGCCGAATTCAATACTTCCCCAATCGCATCTTGCAGCGCCTATAAATATAAATTAGCACCGAAATATCCAGAATATTCAAGTAAACACGCGCAAGGTACCGAGAGTTCGAGTTTCAACTTCAAGAAGTTTAGTTTTTCGGTTCGAGACTAGATGGCGCTAGTGCCGTCGACTTAGGCGCGTAACACTGCCCCCTCCTAAGAAATGCTCGTCCCGAGCATTATCGGCCCCATAATAACGCGCCAGGCGATCCACATGGACGATCTTAGGAGTCCCTCTTGCGCTTTTCTGTATCCGGTAGGTTACATCGTTGATCCTGGTTACAATCCGGTACGGGCCGTCCCATTTAGCTTGAAGCTTAGGAGATTTCCCTTTTCTGCGGACTGGATTGTGCAACCACACAAGTAAACCTTCGTCGAACCCTTTGTTGTTCATTTTGCGGTCGTACCGGGTTTTCATCTTTTCAGACATTTGCTGGCCCGATTGTCTGACGTGCTCATAAACGTCATTCATTTTATTCCGCAAGTCATTTGCATAATTGGTTATACTGCGTGGAGCATCAGGTGGTATCCCGGTGATCAGGTCTGCAAGCAGCCGTAATTCTCTTCCAAAGTTTGCGAAAGCTGGTGTCACTGCTGTACTTTCGTGAACAGCGCTTCGATATGACAACAAAAACGGTTGTATGTGCTTGTCCCAATCTCGTTGCCGATTGTCTACAACTTTTGCTAGGTACCTCTCCAATGTCTGATTAAATCGTTCTACCATTCCTCAGATTGCGGGTGATAAGAAGTCGTTCTTGTTTTATGAGTACCCATAACTCGGCAAGTTTCCTGGAATATTTGAGACTCAAAATTCCTTTCTTGATCGCTGTGAATCTCTAAAGGTACTCCAAAACGACAGAAGACTTTATGAACTAGTTTATCTGCAACTGTTGAAGCTTCTTGATTTGGAATGGCGAAGACTTCTGGCCACTTAGTGAAGTAATCCATCACAACCATGAAATATTTGTTACCGCTTTCACTCTCCGGAAACGGCCCCGCCACGTCAATGGCTACTCTCTCCCATGGTGCACCAACATTGTACAACTTCAATGCACCAGTAGAGGTGCGTTTCTGCGTGCGTGCGAGTCTGAGGTCCCTTTACAGCCACACAACTTGTACATTTGCGATACCAATCCTCGACGTCGTTTCGACAGTGGACCCAATAAAACCGTTCTCGGATCTTCAGTAGAGTTCGTTTAACTCCCAGATGACCTCCGGAACAATCATTATGGTTCAGCTGTAGAACATCCGGTACTTTAGCTTTAGGGACAACCATTTGCAAGTGACAGCTGTCTCCCCGAACATTTTCCCATTTACGGCACAGAACTCCATCCTGAAGCAGCAAGCTGTCCCATTGGGCCCAATAGCTTTTTGTGGTCGAACTCATCGCTGAGACGTCGCTCCACTTGGGCTTGGGAGCACTGGCCTTCATCCATTCCAGAATCGGCTTGATGCATGTTGTAAGCTGTCCTTCCACTCGTTGCTGAGGTGGTCTGTCCTGAGCATCCTCACGGATACCACTTCCTTACTCTCCTGCCTAGTACAATGTTTGCAATCTTCAGGACAAGGTCTTCGTGACAATGCATCTGCGTTGCCATGAGATTTCCCGCTGGGATGTTCGATCTCAAAGTCGTATTCTTGCAGTAGTTCAATCCACCTCGCAACTTGTCCTTCTGGATTTTTAAACTGCAATAGCCATTTTAGCGCAGCATGGTCAGTTCTTAAGCGAAATTTTCGTCCCAGAAGATATTTCCTAAAATGCTGCAACGACTTTACCACAGCTAGCAATTCGCGTCTTGTGACACAATAGTTCCTTTCCGGTTTTGACAACGACTTGCTGAAGTACGCTATCACGACCTCTTGGTCACCATTCCGTTGAGACAACACACCGCCAAGTCCTACATCACTTGCGTCTGTGTCAACTATAAATTCTTTGCTTGCATCAGGGTATCCCAAAATAGGTGTTTTGCACAGACGGTCCTTGAGCTCCTGGAATGCGATATTGCAACTTTCATCTCAGCAGAAATGTCGCTTCTCTTCGGTTAGCTTGTGCAGAGGTTTGGCTATATCCGTAAAGTTCTTCACAAATCGCCGACAATAGGAGCACAAACCCAAAAATGATCTAACCTGCGTCTTGTCTTTTGGAACCGGCCAATCCTTGACAGCGGCGATTTTCTCCGGATCCGTACGGATACCTTCTTCCGACACTACATACCCCAAAAAGTTGACTTGCCGTTTGAATAGTGAACATTTCTTTAGACTCAACTTGAGGTTGGCACTCTGAATCTTCATGAGCACGCGTTCCAGGTTCTGAAGGTGTTCCTCAAACGTACGTCCCACGATAATGATGTCATCCAAGTAACCAGACAGGCATCGCCAATTAGCCCACTAAGTACAAGCTCCATCAGCCTTTCAAACGTTGCTGGAGCATTGCACAATCCAAACGGCATTACTTTGAATTGCCACAGACCCTTTCCCGTCGATAACGCAGTTTTCTCCTTGTCCTTAGGGTCATTTTCAACTTGCCAGTAGCCACTTTTTAGATACAGCGTGCTAAACCATTTTACTCCTGTAAGCATGTCCAGCGTGTCATGAATTCTTGGCAAGGGATAGCTGTCCTTCTTTGTAACGTCGTTCAGACGGCGGTAATCAACACAGAACCGCATGCTGCCATCCTTCTTCTTTACCAGCACCACGGGTGAATACCATGGACTAGATGAAGGTTCAATAACACCATCCTTCACCATTCCCTCAATCATGGTTTCCACTTCCTTTTCTCGTGCTACCGGCAATCTTCTTGGCCGCTGACGAATAGGCAATTCCTCTCCTGTGTTTATTTTGTGTTGAACTAAGCCAGTCTTTCCTATGTCAGCATCGTTTGACGAGAATACATCGGCGTACTTGAGTAACAACTTCTTCGCCTTGACCAATTCGTTCGGGGAGAGAACACTGCGACAGTCTTCCAGAAGTGTGGTCACTCTCGTTTCTAAATCCTCGCTGGGGGTCCCACTCGATATATATTGGCACCGACGTAACCAATCCACTTCCTCACAAGTACCAACCAGTGTGCCTTTTTCTATAATCTGTTCCCGGTCACAAAGGTTCAGCACACGTACTCTTGAGATGTCAGTGGTTCTGACCAAGGTTCGAGCTACTTTCCATGGAAGGTCATTGTTTACCCTTTCCACAAGTATACAACGGTGAGCTTGCCCAGCGTTTCGGGGAAGACTAACCGGAACAATCGTTTCCGATCTCGGCGGAAGAACAATTTTCTTAATGCTGTACACGTTCCCTGGTTTTTTCACATTTCAAAACACCTTGCTTAACGTCTATCTCACAACAATTATTCCTCATAAAGTCTAGGCCTAGGATACAGTCGTCCATTATAACAGCCACGATGACATTATGCAGGTAGATCACGTTGCCTAGCTTCAACTCCATCTCCTTCTCTCCACGGACGGGTATACGCTGACCGGTGGCTGTTACCAATTTAATGCGTTCTCGGTTGTATGCGGAGTCCCCAAGGAACTGACTTATAAGTTGGGAACTAACAACCGTACGAGAAGCTCCAGTGTCTATGGTCAGTTTACACGGCATTCCGTTGACCTCGCCCTTGATGATTAGACTGTTCCCATCATGGGTTTGTGAGATCGAGATCCTTGGGGCTCTTTTAACATCAGCCAGCACCCGCCCCGCAGTTCTGGCTTTTACTCGTTTCCCTGCTGCTGCTGGGCGGTGCTGTTGGCCGCACTACCCTCCTAAGATCGTTCACCTTCCTTTTCTAAGGTTCGCTTATGGCAGCTGGATCGAAGATGGCCCTTTTCCCCACAGCCATAGCACCTAGGGCTGTATCCTTTGTTGCGGTCGCGAACTGTAGCTGCTGCAACCTCCCTGACGCGATGGGAACGATGATCCTGCCGCACGGCTTCTACCTCCAGTGCATGGGTCAAGGCGTCCTTAAGCGTCTCGTGGTGCCCGAGCCTCACAGCAGCTCCGACTTCCAGGTCGCGGATGTCGTCGATGAATGTCTGCACCAGGTTCCCTTCAATGAGTGCAGGTACAGACTGGTATGCTTTTCGAACCATCTTCTCCACCTCAAGGACCCACTGCTGCAGGTTTTCGTTGCTGCGTTGCACGTGATCTTTAAGCTGCGCGCGAAAGACGTGTTCCAGGTGAGCGTCACCATATCTCGCCTCCAATGCCTCAAGGAGCTGCTCGTAGGTCACTTTCTTACCGAGAGCTTCCAACACGGTTAAGGCTTGGTCGCGCAGGCCTAAGGTGAGTGCAGTCATGGCCTGGCTTTTATTCCAGCCGTTTGCCTCCATGACGGCCTCGAACTGAATTTTGTAGGCCGACCAGGAAGAAGTCCCGTCGAACGGCGGCACTTTGAATCCACGTAGCGAAGGTGCTGTAGCTACTACGGGAGCCGTAGTTCCATCCCCAAGTTTGAGGTCGTTCAGCGTTTTCTTCACGTCAGCCATCACGTTGTCAACCCGATTGTTCACATGGTTGATTCGGGTTTCATGTTCTTCGATTCGGGTTTCAGCTTCCGACAGGTGGTTGTCATGTTGAGCAACCCTATCCTTCACCTCCCTTATCTCTTTCGCAAAGGTAGCGTGAAGGTCCTTCATGAGGAGCATCTGTTCCTCCTGTCGGCGGGCCTGTTCCTCTTGTCCGCTCTGCAGCTGCTCTTTCAACTGACGGACCTGATCCTCCTGCCGTCGAACCTGTTCCTCATGTCGGCGGACCTGTTCATCCTGTCCACCCCGCAGCTGCTGTTCCAACCGACGGACCTATTCCTCCTGTCGGCGAGCCTGCTCCTCTTGGCGGCGAGCCTGCTCCTGCAGCATCACCATCAGAGCACCTAAGTCAGGTGCTGCAGATGTAGGAGCTACCGACGGGCCTGCAGCCGGTGGCTGGCCCTCCGACGTCTGCGGCGTTGCACCATCAAATGTTCGTTGGTCCGTCTCCTGCTGGCGTTGACTTCGGATACGGACACCCTCCGTTTCCTCCTTAGGTAAAATCGGCATGATTTTATCCCACTTCTGACACCAATTGTTACGAGCTTGAGATTCGTGACAATAAATCAATTTTTATTGTGTAATTACCTAAATTAACACTTTAATTTTCTTTACACCAATTAAAACTTAAAACACTAAAAATTAATCACACTGATTCACTTTATTCCGCTCCGAAGCTTCGCTTGCCTCGCCGAATTCAATACTTCCCCGATCGCATCTTGCAGCGCCTATAAATATAAATTAGCACCGAAATATCCAGAATATTCAAGTAAACACGCGCAAGGTACCGAGAGTTCGAGTTTTAACTTCAAGAAGTTTAGTTCTTCGATTCGAGACTAGATGGCGCTAGTGCCGTCGACTATAACAATATTAACTCTCTTGAGATTTCTCATTCTATCACTTATATATACTTTCAGCCTTATACAGAGAAATGCTTAAAGTTGCTTTATCTGTTTTCACCAAATGATAAAAGAAAGAGATACGTATTGACATAATTAATACCATAGCCGTTAGAAGTTAGAAACAGTCATACGATTTGGAATAAGATGAATCATGATTTTAGGTGATGTGTGGTTTGTTGATTTTGTTGTCTATACTCTAAATAAAACCAAGATAATACTTCTCTTATATTATCGGATACTTACTTATAGTAAATGGTAATATATAGTAACACAGTAGATGCAGTATCTCCTGGTGCAACGATGCTGGGAACACGGCCACGCAGTACGCGACTAGGTAGGGCAGGTTGTCTATCATATCGTACTCTAGGAATGGCAGCAGGCAGCCCAAACACTGGAGTACGGCTTGACCAAATGCTACAAAAATATTTTAGATTTATTTATGAACAAGTGAACATACGTGATAGAGCCACAATGCAGCTATATTATGTTTGTAGCACGAGTGGTCGACCACGCTCTCTCATCGAATACCAGCTTCAAATAGCAGTTTGATACTGTTCTATTTCTTCAGATGAGTGTAGAGAATCTGAAAACTTTTACTGGACGAGGCATTCCATCTCAGTCCTTAGGGGAGACAACGCTTCTGCATTTTGATTCTAAACTGAGGATAACTGTAGATATTTATGGGCCACAGCAACCACTTACCATCAGGTGGTCTGTGTGTTCGTTTGTCACTCTTATTGTATAAAAGAAATGAACTGTGTCGTTCTTCTTTTCTATTACAGCTTTTACAAGTCCGCTGCCGATCATGAGTCTTACATACGTGCTAGTAAGTAGCTACTGCAAACTATAGACACCAGCTATCATCTTCAAGTAGAGAAGCCTACAAATGTGTTTCCACTTCTAAAGACTAAGATGAAATACCTCACATCCTGTATTTGTACTGGTTCTCTTTACCCCTCAGCCTTGAGACCGGAACACAGCAGTGAAAGCGCTGCTACTTGGTGGCCAGACTTCTTAGCATAAAGGATTCTACTACCCAGTAAACAGGTATTTAGATAAATGATAATTGATTATCAACATCAATAGTCCTTAGACTTTTTATAGAATAAGCGTGACAAACGAGCTGTTATATCCCTTTTTACAAGGCAACAAAATATTAGTAAGCATTTATTTAATCACACGGTACTTTTCCTTAATTTAGCTATAGTCAGCAATTATATTGTTATATTGTTTCTTTCCATGTTCGTTTTAATTCCATTTTTTAATGATCAGTTAGACTCAGAGCCCCGGGTAGATCGGACATAGATTCCGAGACTTATTAGAGTTCGGAAGTCAAGGACTATATTAATTTGGTGTGTGAACTTTTGCAATAAACCTTTAGGTTTATTTGGTGTTTCTTTTTTTTAAAAAGTCAAACGGGATCGGCCTCCTAACAAATTGATGTCAGAAGTGGGATGCAAAACAGAAGGTCATAAAGGACTTTGGCATCCGAATCCGAGGTCCCCGAAATCACCAAGGTCGACATTAAGCCTTAGCCGTGCCTAAGCCTGCGCCTATCACAATTTTGGACGACGATCAGCCTCCGCTCTGAAGCGTGAGCCCGCTCCGCTCACACCTGGTCCTGTAAAAACCCGTCTGGCCGACGATCAGCCTCCACCAGGAGCCCGCACCAGCTGAGTCTTACTAGTTCTCATGCACCTCAGTTGACCGAAAAGGTACAACCGAGTCTTACTAAGTCGTTTACTATATCTACATCTCAGCAGCCCAAAGAGGTTAAGCCGAGTTTTAATGAGTCTTATTCTAGTTCTATTCCTATTTTTGAAACGAGCATAAATACATGCAAGGTTACGTTACCATACACGAATTTATTAACAAAATATTCTCCTAAGTGTCTCAAACTTCTTATCGACACCGGTGCAAGCGTATGTGTCATAAAGCAATCATGTTTAAAAACGAAACATGAACTTCTTAAGGACAAAGTAAGAATCAAAGGTATAAATGATACGGACACATACAGCGAAACAATAGGCTCAATCTACTTACAATTTTTATTAAGTGATGAAACTTACGAGCACAAATTTTATGTCATTAACGATAGCATAAATCTTAGTTACGACGGTATTATTGGTACAGATTTTCTTAAATATTTTAATGCTAATATAAATTATAGTTCTAAGATAATGACTCTTTGCGGTCACCAAGTTCCTATTATATTCCATCAGCCGACTTACACCGTTCCAGCACGCTCAGAAGCAGTCATTGAATGCGCTATATCAAACCACTCGCTCGAGACTTATCGGAATAATGAAGCTTTAGTTCTAGATCATACCTTAAGCAAGGGTATTTACGTCGCGAATTGTATAGTATCAGTAAAACCAAATAAAAAGGTTAACATCACTGTTTTAAATACGACTGATACAGACATAGAAATTAAAGATTATTCCGTAGAATTAACACCTATAGATTACGATAATTCTATTTCCTGCGAAAATTCAATACCTAGTAAATCTATGTATTCCGTTTCGACTTCCAAATCTGATCGAATAAATCGAGTATTAAGTCTTTTACGCTGCTCTCATCTCAACGATGAAGAAAAGAAAGCACTTCTCAATTGCTGTTCCGATTATACGGATATCTTTCACCTCGAAGGTGAGCCCCTCTCTTTTACGAATGGCATCCAACACTCCATAGATACGGGTAACGCACCCCCAGTTCACGTAAAATCGTATCGCTTCCCCGAGTGCCACAAGGAAGAAGTTGATACACAAATTCGCAAAATGCTAAATCAAAATATAATTCGTCCCTCTGTTTCGCCTTGGAGCGCCCCGGTATGGGTAGTTCCGAAAAAAATTAGACGCTTCTGGCAAGAAAAAGTGGAGAATAGTCATTGATTATCGTCGCCTTAATGATATCACGGTTTCAGAAAGTTATCCGCTGCCTCTTATCACTGATATCCTAGACCAATTAGGCCATTCGAAATATTTTACAACTCTCGATCTTGCTAGCGGTTTCCACCAGATAAAGATGGATGCTAAAGATGCTCCAAAGACGGGATTTACTATTAGTACTAACTCTAGCATGTCCGGACACTATGAATTCACTAGAATGCCCTTTGGTTTGAAAAATGGACCCTCAACCTTCCAGCGACTCATGAATACTGTCTTATCAGGACTACAAGGTCTACACTGCTATGTATATCTAGATGATTGTATAATTTATAGTCAAAATTTGAATCAACATATGGAAAAGTTAAAATTAGTGTTTGATAAGTTCCGCGAATACAATTTAAAATTGCAACCAGACAAGTGCGAATTCTTAAGACGTGAAGTAACTTATCTTGGTCACATTATCACCGACAAAGGTGTCTCTCCAAATCCAGACAAGGTAAAAGCAGTATCGCAATTCCCAATTCCTAAGAATCCTAAAGAAATTAAATCCTTCCTAGGCTTAATAGGCTATTATCGCCGATTTATTGATAATTTTTCCAAATTAACGAAACCTCTTACTTCTTTATTAAAAAAAGGACGCTAATTTCCACTGGTCTCCAGAGCAACAAACCACTTTCGATATTCTAAAAGAAAAATTAATCACTGCTGCGCTGCTCCAATACCCAGACTTCTCTCAGCCGTTCATAGTAACCACAGACGCAAGTAATTACGCCGTAGGTGCAGTTCTATCCCAAGGTCCTGTCGGCAAGGACAAGCCAATAGCTTACGCATCGCGCACTTTAAATCGTGCCGAAGGTAATTATTCAACTACCGAAAAGGAACTCCTAGCCATTTTATTCGCAGTCAAAACATTTCGCCCTTACCTCTACGGTAATAAATTTAAAATTGTCACCGACCACAGACCATTAGTATGGTTATTTAATGTCAAAGACCCAGGCAGTAGACTCATTCGTTGGCGCCTAAAACTCGAAGAATATGACTACGAAATCATTTATAAACAAGGCCGTTTAAACTCCAATGCTGATGCGTTATCTCGCTGTCCCGTTAATGTTATAGACATTAATACTTTAAATAACTCTAGTTATGAAAAATATTTTAAGGATCAATTCACTAATAAAACTTCTATTTCAAATACAGTAATTATAGAATGCACTGAAGGATTACATTTGTCTAAGTTAAAATATATTGCGTGTCCGGTCTCTTTAGATTTCGACTCATCTATACCTCACTGTGAAGAAATACTATCGCAGTTGGATAAGCCGGAGGAATTGTTAAATTCCGAACGCGAACCTTTTACAATTCAATGTGTTAAAGATAAGAATAAATACTTCTATTTTTTATATACTAAAGTTCACCATTATGAAGAAACCAAATTTAAAGATATCTACAATTTAATGATAAAACTTAGAGATAAAATTTTAGCCGAAAATCCCGATATCACAGATCTCGCCTTGTCAGACTTTTCAGACCCATTCTCTAAGTTAGCTTATATTAAGGTATATAATATGATTGCCTATATTTTCCATAATACTAATATTAAAATCCATATTTATAAAAATCAGTTAATTTACCCTACTCCCATCGAAATCCCTAAAATTTTAAAAGAGAATCATGATTCACCTATTGCGGGTCACCCAGGATCAAATCGTATGTATAAAAGAATTAAAGCCGCCTACTACTGGAAGGGTATGCGCTCTGATATTGTAGATTACGTTAAGAAATGCCAATTATGCCAAATTAATAAGCCGCTGAGAATGTCCAATAAGGCTCCAATGGAGATAACTTCCACTTCTACTAGACCTTTTGAACGATTAGCTCTCGACATCGTTGGTCCTTTGCCCGACGCAGGTTTCCAAAAATTCAAATTTATCCTTACATTGCAAGACGATTTAACTAAATTTTCAAGCGCTTATCCCCTGGTCACAGCTACCAGTGAAGAAATAGCCAGAAATCTCGTACATTTTATGTCTCTTTTCGGTTTTCCTAAAACGATCTTAACAGATTTGGGTACGTGTTTCACGTCCGATTTATTTAAACAACTGACTCAAATTCTAAAGGTTAAAGCCTTATTTACCACTCCTTATCACCCACAAACAAATGGAGCCCTAGAACGCTCACATGCTACTTTAAAAGAATACCTAAAATCCTTCGTAAACGAAAACCAGAACGATTGGCATTGTTATCCATTTACCGCAATATTAGCTTATAATACCACTCCACATTGCACCACTAATTTCACCCCTCATGAATTATTATATGGTTATAAACCTAACATTCCAAATTCCCTATATGAAACAAATAATAATACAACCTATAATGAATATATTCGAGCTTTACAATATCGAATGCGTTTTAGTAGAGAAAAGGCCATTCAAAATATAATTAATAGCAAAGAAAAATCGAAACAATATTATGATGCTAGTTCACGTGAAACTTCTTATAAAATTGGCGACTTAGTGTATATAAAACATCATCACCGGCTCCGTAAGGCTCTATCACCTATATGGAAGGGCCCATATAAAATTATAAAAATAAATAATAAGCATAACGTAACGTTACAAATAGGTCGTAAACATGTTAAGTACCATACAAACGAAATTAAGCCTGCTATTCAAACTCCCTAAATTTAATTAACTTTGTATATTTTTTCAGAGCTTTATGCTATGGAAACCAAAGCCATGCTGAATCGAGGATCATACCTATATCACATAGCCCTGGAATTTATTTTGAACCTATTACGCATATTAATTTTTATAACGATTATTGGAAAGTCATAACACATATAGACCTTATATCCTTAGATCCTTATCTCAATAAAATAGAAAATTTATTATATGATACTTTAAATCTTTGTTCCAAAATAAATACTGACGAATTTTCCCCGTGTAAAGATTTTTCTACTCCTATAGAGACTTTAATAAAATATAATTACGTCAAATTGCAATCTCTAGCACATTTAATCAATAATAACTCATCGCCAAACAAAGTCAAAAGATCTTTGGAATTTGGAGGCGAAATTCTTAAATTTTTCTTTGGTACTCTAGACGCAGATGATGCGCGAAAATATGATGCCGCGATAGAATCCTGTCGGAAAAGTGAAACGGAATTATTTAATTTATTCAGAGATAATATTCATATAATTAAATCCACTATAAATAATTTTAATTCCACTATTTATAAATTAAATCAAAACGAATTAAAATTGAACTCCCAAATTAATAAAATGAATGAAATTTTGTCACAAATTACAAAAACCGATAACTTACTCCTTCACATTTCTAGGATAAATAATTTACTAAACGTAATTGAAGGCTCCTTACTTGCTATTTCTAATTTACTAGACACAACTATAAATGCTATTTTATTTTCCAAGGTAAATGTTTTGCATCCTAGTGTGATTAGCCCTTTAAGTCTTTACAATGAATTAACTAAGCACATTAATCAATTAAACAAACGTTTAGATTTTCCAATGCAATTGAACATACATAATATTCATTCTTTGATTGACGTCTCGAAACTTAGTTCATATTATTATAACAATAAGATTGTTTTCAGTTTGCAAATTCCACTGATAACACCTGATAAATTCACTGTTTATAAAAATATCCCATTACCGACTCCTCACGACGAGTCACATAATATGCAAACTTTTGCACTTATTCAACCTTCTAATTCTTATATTGCTTTAAGTGACGATAGAATACATTATACTATGTTTAATAACTTAGATGATTGTAATTTCATTAATAATAACTACTCTATTTGTGAACTATCAACTATAACGTCTAGTGTAAGTAATCCAAATTGCGAATCGAAACTACTAACAGAAGTAACTCTTACCTTACCTTCTGATTGTAACGTTAAGTTATTATTTGGCCAAATCAATATTTGGCATAAATTAAAAAATAATAGATGGATTTATGTACAATCTAATGTAAATAAATTAACTATCAAATGTGATGACGACATTACTGATCATTCTATTATTGGTACAGGTATTGTCAAATTAACCGAAAATTGTATCGGTTATTCCAAAACTATTCAATTATTGCCAACTAGTACTTACCAATTTTCGATCAAATCAACCATAGATATAAGTTTTGATATAACGAAAGATGATTGTTGCAAAAAGGACATATTTAATAAAAGTTTACCACATTTAACGCCAATCTCATTAAGCAAAGTTAACTTGGATTCTTTAAAATATGCAAATCATCAACTGGATAGTTTAGAATTTGAATTAAATAATCTTCAAAAAAGAATCACATTTTATTAAATATGGCTCATACTATTCAACATTTACTTATGTTTTAATTGTACTACTATTTTTATACCTTGCCTATAAATTATTTAAATGCTGCAGAAATCGTCACGATAACAGTGGATATTGTATACAAATATTTAATCAATGTAATAACAAAAAGTCATCGAAACATAATTCTAAAATTTCAAATCCAATTGAAATGACCGATAAATCGACATCTGAAGAAGATAATATCTCGCTAAAATCTTTAGCAAATTGTACTAATTATAAACCTTATAAAACTGTACACAAGGTTCATTCTTCCTCTCGAAGAAATCTTAATTTCTAATTTTATTCAATTTTAGTTTTAAGATTTTTGTGTTAATACAAATAATCGATTTTATTATTATATAATTTTAATTTCTACTCTGTCATTTTATATTTTGTAATTGCTATATTTTTCTATTTTAAATGCAATCTATGTTAATTTCTAATTTTACGATTTCATTCAAAATACTTTTAATTTTAGATTTAAATAATTCATTTTTGTATAATTTTATTCTTTAATTTTAAATTGATTATTTTGAATTTTACTCTGTCTCTTTTGTATAACCTAGATAACGGATAATACTATTGTATCTTTATGTAAAATTTAGTTCGAAAGTTTTTATATTGTTACGAGATTGATTAGCAATATTTTACTACAATTTTTAATTTCCTATTTTCATAATTTGTAATGTCTTTTCTATTTCGAATCTTCGCTTTATCTTAATTTAGAAAAAGCTCAGTCAAAAGGGGGGAGCTGTTATATCCCTTTTTACAAGGCAACAAAATATTAGTAAGCATTTATTTAATCACACGGTACTTTTCCTTAATTTAGCTATAGTCAGCAATTATATTGTTATATTGTTTCTTTCCATGTTCGTTTTAATTCCATTTTTTAATGATCAGTTAGACTCAGAGCCCCGGGTAGATCGGACATAGATTCCGAGACTTATTAGAGTTCGGAAGTCAAGGACTATATTAATTTGGTGTGTGAACTTTTGCAATAAACCTTTAGGTTTATTTGGTGTTTCTTTTTTTAAAAAGTTTAACGGGATCGGCCTCCTAACAGAGCGCACAGTCCGACATCTGATGGAAGTCGATGCTATCTCCCATAAACATTTATATATATCCTCGATTAAGGGCCTATACTACCTCAGCTCAAATTCCAATTTCGCCCCTACTTCCCCGCGCATCGTACGCTCTCTACGGACATGTTTGTAATCACTAATACTGTAAGTACATAGGTCGTAGATACTTATTTCATTAGATTTATCATATTTTTGCCTGTGTCTTTATGCCAACCCAGTCACTTCTTATTTTTATTACGGTATTTCCACTTTTAAATTTACGTCGTCCTGTTGCGTAATGTGTGTTCTAATTGTAAGCGACACAGCTTTCCCGTTTGAAAGCCGAAGCGAGACTGAGCGGGGGTATCGAGCGACAGGGAATAAGCTTCAGGACGGCCATAGTTTAGGTAATTTCGTTTTTACAGTGTAAATAATAGTAATTAAAAAAAATTAAAAACATAAGCCCTTCTTTATGGTTAGTTCAGTTACTATGCAGTTTCATGATCTAATTTAAAGAATTTTGTGAATACCAGCGTTTTATTGTTCGGTTTGGAGGTAGCTTTGGATTTTTATTGAGAAAATTTTATGGAATCGTGTTTTCGTGTAACAAAGTGCTTAACATTAATCCTCAACTTTACCATATATTTATTTCAAAATTAGTGCTGCAATATTTTCAGCATAACGGAGAGTCTTGCTAAGCCATTTGAGGTAGTATAGGTCGTTAAGAATCACAACTATTATACAGCTGCAGCATGACTCTGGCTCGTAAAAAAGTTAAAATAAAAGATACATATAAAGAAGAAAATGGAAGTAGACGCGCTACGTACCCTGAATGCCATATTGTATATGAGGAGCGGCGTCCACCAGCTGCGAGATGGCGTTGAAGAGTCCCTTATAATCCAGATTGGGATAGAGTGCCATCCGTTCCGCATCACTATCGGCATCCCTAATCATCTCTAGGGGCGAGCGCGGTACATCTTTAAGTACGCCTGGAAAAATTAAACGAGTTGTGATTGTAACCTATATTTTAAATCAAGTTTGACCTGTAGAAGAAACGTGTTATATTATATTTATTAAATGACAGTGGCAAGCAATAACTAGATACTGAATGAGGTTTATGAATAGGTCGGTACATAAAAAAAGCACAACACTGCTATGCTTCTCGTAGTAAGGCTTCCCTTTTACTAATAGCGAAGCAATCTTGACTGGTTCAGCAACGCTTTGCCGTTTCTTCTGTACTGAAGTCATCATCATCATCACCACAAGTCCACTGCTTAGCATCGGTCTCCCTCAAATTGCCACTTGTACTGATGTCAACTTTTCTTCCCCATCAACTGTCGGTGTTAGCTAATCTCGTTTATTTGGTGCTACTGCGGATATCTTCAGAGATTTCCTGCTTTAACCTTAAAGATGTTCAAAATTAATTTGCTAAGATCTGCTCAATAAAATAAAATGATGTGTGTGTGTGTCTCACTATAACCGTCACCACTAATCCCATCACCACTACTAACAACACCACTACACTAGGAACGACACACTACCGTCGATAATACGACACGTGTTTCGCCTCTAAACGAGGTATCCTCAGATGAAGTACACTGTGCGGTGGCTGACCGCTAAGCGGTTCTCACAGACCAACTTGTTGTTAACTAACTACTTACTAAGAAGAGTCTGCGAGAAATATTTGACGGTGTTGGCGATGTCGACGCCGGAGGGCAGCGGTGGGATGTTGTGCATCAGACGCAGCTGGAAGTCGTAAAGACTGCGAATCTTCGCCGTGACTGCAGAGTAAATGAAAATCAAGAACTAATGAGTCCATAAAACACAATATTAACATCACGATGCCCTATTCGACATTTTTTTTAAGAAATCATATTTTTGCTTTGTTAAAAATCGGATAATAAGTAAAACAAATATTTTTTACTGCTTTAATCAAATTTTAAACTTCTTGCCATATTCACCTGACGTTAAGTGGCTAATGTAGCCCATGGACTATCTTCAAATAAGGAAGGCCACAGATCCACACAGTTACAACATAACTGCGTGGATTAAGATGGAATGCCACGCAGCATTTAATTACACTCGCTCCGTATACACTTCAAACCTCAACATAGCTGCAGTGCACTCGCTATTATTTGGCGACAAAAATATATAAGAGGGTGTTATCAACACGGACTCCTGACAAAAAAGGAGACCCACCCCCTAATGTACATTACCATTACAGCTAATAAAATTCCTGGCTGAATATAAGCCTCTCCATAAATTGCCTCATATGGCAAATATATAAATAGATAGTTGCCACGATTGGAAAACTGATATTTTTGCAGTAGTTTTACGAAGACGCTGCTGCCCATCTCCTAGTTTCTCTCTTTCACCTCTCACGACACCCGCAGGATGTTCTGGGATATTGGATAAGTATTCTTACACCACCACTACATTTTTCCTTTATTTCATTATATATTTATTTTGAAAGACTTATTCATATTGTTAATTAAGTTCGCCTTTGTACTTTTTGTGCATAAATAAACATAAGTACCTACACAAATTTTTTTTTTTTAGTCTTGAACCTGTGACAGTGAACTACTGGAGATGGATCTCTCCCGTGATTTGGAGCGGTTTACCTCAATCTTCACGCTAATGAATAGTAGTCACTCATTTACCAACCTCAACCGAAAAACCTCACCGTTCTTCGTCCCTACTTTAAAAGTTACCAATGTTCTAATATATGAGATACCTTTACGAGTACTATTCCAGTTAAACGAATTAATTTACAAGGTGCAGGTTCAACCACACATGGAATACTGTTCCGATCTCTGGGCTGGGGTTCCCCAGTACCAGCTCCTTCCACTTGACCGCATCCAGCGCAGAGCGGCTCAAATCGTCGACGACCGAGTGCTTTCCGATCGGCTCGATTCACTGGCACTGCGAAGAGATGTTGCATCTCTTTGCATTTTCTTTCGCATATACCATGGAGAGTGCTCTGAGGAATTGTTCGGATTAATCCCAGCCGCCAAATTTCATGAACGCACTATACGCGGCAAACGTCCCGATAACATTCACACCATCTGGATGCTTGGCGGTCCACCACTGTATGAATGAATGAGTTTTCTTCCGCGTACAACCTCTCTGTGGAATAGTTTACCACCGGCGATTTTTCCGGACCGATACGACTTGGGGACCTTCAAGAAAAGAGCTTACTCCTTTCTAAAGGGCTGGCAACGCACCTGCAATTCCCCTGGTGTTGCGGTTGATCATGGGCGGCGGTAGTCACTTAACATCAGGTGAGCCGCATACTCGTTTGCCCCCTCTTCTATAAAAAAAAACCACCCACAGTTCGTATTACTACAACTAGGTAATAAGGAATCAATACTTAAGCATTTCAGTATTAACAGCCTTTGTTTTACATATACTACATAATGTCTTTTGTCCATCGGATATCCACTCTGTAATTGTTTTAGTCCATCTATAATTTGTTAATCTGCAGAGATGTCTAACCAATGGCCATTTGCTTTTCTTAATCTTTGTTATAACATCTTCCACCCTCGCCCTGTCCTGAATCTCTTTAATCCAGATTCTGTCTTTTTGAGAAATTTTAAGCATTGAACTTTCCATTGCTCTTTGAGTTACTTTTAGTTTATTTAATTAGTAAGACTCCATGTTTGTGATCCATAGGTTAAAGTAAGAAGGATGGCGGTGTTAAATGTCTTCCTTACCTATATACCTATACCTATATCTATACTTATCACCTTATCTTTGTTGTTTTAAAATGACATGACTTGTCCGAGATATGTAGTCATCTACATACTCCAGTAGGGTTCCTCTAAGTCTAACAGGTTTTTACTCCCCATTTACCATGATCATACATTTTTGTCTATTCATTTCCAAGCCTGCTTCTCAAGTTTTATCTATCTTCTTCGCAACACTATCAGAAATAATTTGTACAAGCCCGAGAAAAATCTTACGGGTCTATAATTATCTAGGTTGTCCTGGTTTCTTTTTTTGTATGATATTGTTATGTATGAAATATGCCACTGTTTTGGTATGATTTCGTCATTCAAAATATTCTTGAATAAATTTGTGATGACTTTATGCAACTCATAGCTGGAGTATTTTATAATTTATCACAGATATGATCTGGGCCTGAAACTTTTTCATTTTTCGGGTTTGTTAAAGTTATCTCGTCAACCACGAATGATCTTTACACTGTTTTTCTCATAGGTACTCAGGTCATGGTTGACATTGGTATATAGTGTTTTGAAGTACTTTGTTGTCGTGTTTACAATTTCCTTTTACGCGGAGCCCAAAATAGCTTTTTATCACGACAATGTTGTCAGCGCTTAAGCTTAGTAATAAATAGGTCACTTTCATGTCCTGTAGTTAAAGGCATCGGAGGTACTAGTAAAGCTACCCAGGGATATATTAATTTAAAATTTTATTCTCGGATAGATCGTAATGTTAACTTTGATATAAATGCACTAGTAGTAGATAGGGTCACTGAACGGTTGCCAACCGTTTCGGTTGACACCTCGGCAATGATTGAATTTAAAAATTTGATTCTAGCGGACGACACTTACGCCGTTCCTGGAAACATAGACATGCTCATTGGAGCATCGCTTTTCCCTCATCTTTTGTTAAACAATAAGGTCAGGGGCAACTCCTCGCATACCGCGCCTTACGCACTAGAAACCGTATTGGGCTATGTTATCATTGGCTCCGCCCCCATCATAGATAGTATCTCGGCAACCTCTTATTGTGGTATGGCTGTCGAACCGCTCGAGTCGTTAGTCCGCAAATTTTGGGAGATGGAGGAGGTGAACGTCCCACCCATAGCTAGCTCAGATGACAGGTTATGCGAGGAAATTTACGTCCGCACGACCGTTCGTGATCGCGACGGTAGATATAGTGTAGCGCTACCCTTTAAAGGAGATGTTTTATCTCTCGGCGATTCGCGTCAAATGGCGGAAAAACGTTTCTACAGCTTGGAGAGTAGGATGCTCGCTTCACCCCAGTTAAAGGAAGCTTATGACGGCGTCATTAACGAATATATAAGAGAAGGTTACATATCACTCGTGGCTTCGAAATTAGATAACTACGAAGACACACCGTCGTATTTCATACCACACCACGGGGTCATTATGGAGGACAAACTTACATCTAAGTGACGTGTAGTGCTCGACGCTAGCGCTAAAACTACCACTCACCTGTCGCTTAACGATATCCTCTATAGTGGGAAAAATTTACAGGGCAGTTTATTTAATATAATAGCCAATTTTCGTTTGTTTAGTATAGCACTATCCGCCGATATTCGCCAAATGTTTCTTTGCATAGGGGTCCGTGAATGCGACCGTAGATTCCAACGCATTTTATATCGTTTCAACCCAAAGGAACCTCTAATGGTTTTTGAATTTAATCGCGTTTGTTTTGGTTTAAAGTCGAGCCCATTTCATGCGTTACGCACGGTGAAACAGCTCGCCCACGATGAAGGTCCTCTTACCCTAAGGCTAAGAGGGCAATTGAGAGCGGATTATATACGGATGATTTTGTGTACTCGGTCGATAGCGTGGAGGAGGCCACCCTAACCACCGCCGAGGTTATAAAACTCATGAAATCGGGTCAATTCGATCTTGTGAAGTGGACTAGTAATTCGCGTCCGGTTTTAGATACCATCCCACTATCACACCGTCTTTCGGCGATAAAGGAATTCGACGATTCCGATACACACAAGGTGCTCGGTCTGTGTTGGTCACCAGAGTCCGACGTGTTTAGCCTTAAGGTAAATCCGCCCGTAGAGAAATGCACAAAGCGCACAATACTGTCATGCGTTGCTAGATTATGGGATGTCATGGGTTTCGTAGCTCCAGTGGTATTATACGCTAAGCTTTTGATTAAACAACTTTGGTTATTTGAATGCGATTGGGATGACTCGCCGCCTGACAGCATAGTTCGTTTGTGGCAGCGCTTTAGAGAGGAACTTCCTTTACTAAGAGAAATTAAAATACCGCGTCATATAAACGTAGATAGAAATAGCGTCATAACGGTCGTTGGGTTTGCCGACGCCAGCGAAAAGGCTTACGGGGGCGTTGTATATTTCCACGTTCAGAATAATGGTAGAAATTCGATTAGCCTCATTAGTTCTAAGTCGAGAGTCTCCCCCCGTAAGGTTGTCTGTCTCTCTGGCGCGCTTAGAGCTTTGCGCAATATTAGTACACACCAAGCTTATTACCGCAGTTTTCAGCGCATGTAGGGATAGAGTTCACATAGAAAGGATATTTGCCTTTTCCGACTCCACCGTCGCCTTATGCTGCGTTCATTCTTCACCCCACCGTTGGGATACGTTTGTCGGGAACCGAGTGGCCAAGATCCAAGACGAGTTAGAAACGCGGAACTTTTATCACGTGTCCGGTACGGAAAACCCTGCCGATTGTCTATCCCGGGGACTCACCCCGATGCAAATAATGGACCACCCGCTTTGGTTCCACGGACCTTCTTGGGTTCACTTGGATCCCTCGCAATGGCCAATAACCGATTTCGAACCTTCGTCAGTGTCACAACCGCCGGAAGAGAAGAGACACGCTCTAGTGGCGAACGTTTCGAGCGAGGTTTCTCCAATCATTGCTTTGGCGAACCGCTTGGCTCCTCTTGGTCGAAATTATTGCGTAGCGTAATTTACGTTTGTCGATTCGCGAAGCTTTTACCGCGACGTTCGTATGTCTTAGCGTCCGATTTCAACTATGCCGAGTCGCTAGTATTACGTGGACTTCAACGTGCGCACTTCTCTGAA